AAACCACGACAACATCACCTACCCAACATCACGCCTGTAATCCTAGCACTTTGGGAGACCAAGGTGGGAGGATCACCTGAGGTCAGAGTTCAAGACCAGCGGGCCGACATGGTGAAACCCCATCTCTACTAAAAATATAAAAGTTAGCCAGGCATGCTGGCATGCACTTGTAATCCCAGCTACTCAGGAGGCTGAGGCAGGAGAATCACTTGAACCGGGGAGGCGGAGGTTGCAGTGAGCTGAGATCACACCATTGCACTCCAGCCTGGGTGACAGAGCAAGACTCCGTCTTAAAAAAATAAAAATAAAAATAAAAAAAGGTGCAGGACATAAAGTAGGCAAAGACCTCAGAGTTCTCACATGACATGGGCTACCTAGGAGTGCACTACAATTGAGGAGCAGGACTAGAAAGCAAAATACTGATGTTCCCAATGGTACAGCTGAAGAAACAGGCAGGGTCCTGTGCACCTGCCCCTTGTAATGGCCTGTCCTGGTGGCTTGTCATATGTCCTTCCTCATCATCCATTTTGCTTTGCATAGAAAAGAAGCAGGGACATTTTGTCCAGAAGAAAATTCTTTTTATGAGAATTCCTTGCTAGCCTGGAACAGGACGCCCTGTGTTGGGACCAGCACTATTCAACAGAACTTTCTGCTATGAGGGAAATATTCTCTCTCTCTGGTGTCAAATGCAGTAGCCACTAGCCACAAGGGGCCACCGAGTGCTTAAAGTATGGCTGTTGCAACTGAGGGGCTGAATCTTACATTTTATGTTAATATGTGAAAATTCTGGCTGGCCACAGTGGCTCACACTTGTATTTTGCTTTCTAGTCCTGCTCCTCAAATGTAGTGCATCCCTAGGTGATCCAATACGTATGAGAACTCTGAGGTTTTTGCTACTTTATGTCCTGCACATTTATTTATTATTATTATTTTTTTGAGACGGAGTCTCCCTCTGTCGCCCAAGCTGGAGTGCAGTGCTAAGATCTCAGCTCACCGCAACCTCTGCCTCCCAAGTTCAAGTGATTATCCTGCCTTACATTTATAATCCCAGCATTTTGAGAGGCCAAGGCAGGAGGATTACTTGATCCCAGGAGTTCAAGATCAGCCTGGGAAACATAGCAAAACCCTGTCTCTACACAAAAGTTACAAAAATAAAAACTAGCTCGGTGTGGTGGTACACACCTGTAGTCCTAGTTTTGAGGGCTCTTTACATATGCTAGATACACATCCTTTATCAAATGTATGATGTGCAAACATTTTCTCCCAGTCTATGGCTTGTCTTTTCATCTTCTGAATGTTGTTCAAAAAGCAGAGTTTTAAGTCTGATGAAGTCCAATCTACCAATATGTTCTTTCATGGATTTTTGCTTTCAATGGACCCACGTCAGAAATCTTTGCCTAACCCAAGGTCACAAAGGTTTTTTCCTATGTTTTCTTCTATAACGTTTATAGTTTTTGCTTTTACATTTAGATCGTTGAGCCATTTTAAGTTTTTTTTTGTTTTTTGTTTTTTTTGAGATGGAGTCTTGTTCTGTCACCTAAGCTGGAGTGCAGTGGTGTGATCTTGGCTCACTGCAACCTCCATCTCCTGGATTCAAGCAATTCTCCTGCCTCAGCCTCCCAAGTAGCTGGGGCTACAGGCACATGCCACCACACCCAGCTAATTTTTGTGCTTTTAGTAGAGATGGGGCTTCACCATATTGGCCAGGCTGGTCTTGAACTCCTGACCTTGTGATCCACCCCCAGCTTGGCCTCCCAAAGTGCTGGGATTACCGGCATGAGCCACTGCACTTGGCCGAGTTAAGTTTTCTATATGCAGCAAGACATGGATTGATCTTTGGTTTTTCCACAGCCCTATTATTACCATTTTGCAAATAAGAATTATGGCATGTAATCAGTGGCCCCAAAGCAGCACAGTCAAGATGTAAATCTAGGTTTTTAGGTCTCTGAAGTTTGTGCTCTTTTTTTTTTTTTTTTTTTTTTTTTTTTTGAGATGGAGTTTCACTTTGTCACCTCTTACTCCATCACCCAGGCTGGAGTGCAGTGGCACAATCTTGGCTCACTATAACTTCCACCTCCCAGGTTCAAGCAGTTCTCTTGCCTCAGCCTCCCAAGTAGCTGGGATTACAGGCACGTGCCACCATGCTAAGCTAATTTTTGTATTTTTAGTAGAGATCGGGTTTCTCACCATGTTGGCCATGGTGGTCTTGAACTCCTGACCTCAGGCGATCCACCCGCCTTGGTCTCCCAAAGCACTGGGATTACAGGCATGAGCCCCAGCCGAAGTTTATGCTTTTAATTTAATGTTTTTCGAATGTAATGAGCATCTGAATGGCCCTCCACAGGCATTCTGTGCAGTGGGGCTAGGCTGTGCCCTGGAGGCTGCATTTCACAGGCTTCCTGGTGGTCCCTGGACTGCACTGGGAGAAACAGTGACAGTTGTGCTCCACCACTTCACACTGGACTTTAAGGGCCTTTCCAAATGTTTTCAATCAAGAAGTGCTACCATTCTTTGCCAGAATAAACACACCTCCACTTTAAATTAGGTGGAAAGTCTGATTTAAAAGGAAACCGGGATTGCAAACCATCTGGGCACAATGATTTATTTTCACTGGGGACAGAGAAACTCCAGAACAGGTCACTTCCTCCTTGGCCATGTTTTTTCAACCATAGCCAGACACAGGCATATTTTAACATGGAGCTCCTCAGAAGATACTCTGCTATTCTGAAGCACTGGGACTGCATTCTGGAGACCCACAGGAAAAGGCCTCCGTGGGCTGAACTGCCATGGAAAGCCATGTCGGGACTTTCCGCCCTGTGGGAAGCAGACAGGATTAGGACTGTTGTCTGTTCCTCCTCCAAGGCCTTACCAAGGTCCGTGTGCTCTCTAGAAAGGAGGCTCAGCTGCACAGGGAGATGCGGGAGGGGAGGCAACACCTGCAAACCCTGCTTGAAGCCTGAAGTTTAGAAACCTGGGAAGTTGCTTCTCCAGTGTGCCCATCTCTATAAATACATAGGGGAGGGGCTTAGTCCTGCGTGTCTCAAATTAGGTCAAGCAATGTGATGAGGGGACATCCTTTAGGTTGTAATTTCTGTACTTTGGGTAGGGCAGGTAATAAGAAGGGTCAGTAATGACCCAGCCTCTGGATAGTGGCTGGTTGCCCCTATAGGGGAGGGGCTTGGAAGCCCCCAGTGTCCACGCCTTTTGCTGACGGAGCTTTGCCAGCTCTTCCCACCTTCGGCCCATTGCTGAATGTACAAGGAGGCACCACTGAGACCGCTCAGCAGTGCATCTAACAAGAATAAAGACACAAAGAAACCTCCGACTGTTCTGTCCCTTAGTGCCCTTAAATTTTAGTTCCATTGGAATAAAACGAACAAAGCATTAAGACCATCCACAGACTGGGAGAAAATACTATATTAGCACATCACATATCTAATAAAGGACTGGTATCCAAAGTATACAAATAATTCTTAACACTCAACAATAAGAAAATGACCCAATAAAAAATCAGCAAAAGAGCTGGACAGCTCACCAAAGAAGATGGCGAATAAGCAGATGAAAAGATGATCATCAGGTCATTAGGGAATTACAAATTCAGACAACAATATGACCACACACCGATCAGAAAAGTTAAAATGAAAAATACTGACAACACCAAATGCTGGTGAGGACATGGAACAACAGGAACTCTCATTCACCGCTTGTAGGAATGCAAAAACAGACACTTCAGAAGAGTTTGGTAGCTTCTTAACAAAACGAAACATACTCTCACTACGTGATCCAGCAATCACATTCCTTGGCGTTTACCCAAATGAGCTGAAAACTTATGTCCATGTGAACGTTTATTTTAGCTTTGATTATTGCCAGAACATCAAAGCAACCAGGATGTTACTTAGTAGGTGAATGGGTAAGGTGTGGGACACCCTTGTAACATTCTGTTACTCAGCAAGGCCAGAAACAAGCAATCCAGCCCCGAAAAATTTCATCACAGAGGAGCCTGAAATGCGTACTGCCGAGTGGAAGCAGCCAACCTGAAAAGGCTCCAGACGGCACAATCCCAATTACATGACATTCTGGAAAAGGCAAAACTAGGGAGACAAAATAAGTTGTTGCCAGGGATTGAGGGGTGGGAGGATGAACAGGAGGAGCACAGGGGACGTAGGGGCAGTGACGACCCTGTAACGGCAGATGCATGTCATCACACATTTGTCAAAATCCACAGAACAACAGAGTAAACCCTAATGTAACTATAGACTTTAGTTAGCAACAAAGTATCAATATTGGCTTATCCCACGTATTAATAAAAAGTAAGATACAGAATGCTTGTATACGATGATTATGCATATGTAAAATAAAAAAAGCTGACACAAACGAAAGAGCAAGGCACAGTCTAATCCAAGAAGGGAGGCATTTCTAACTTTGATAGGCAAGCCCTAAAATAGGCAGGTTTTGAATAAACATTCTAAGAGGAAATAGAAGAATGTGTTAGTGCTCCCTGTACGCTAGGTACCACGTTTAGATTATCTAAACCTTGCACACACCTGTGGGGTGGACACTACCGTAGTTTTTATTTACAGGTAAGGAGCTGAGGCTCAGAGGGAAAGGAAATGCTCTGTGGCCCCGGGATGTGAGTGGTGGCCTTAAGGATTCAAACTGAGCCTATGCTGGTAAACTCTACACTTCTGTTCAGGAATTTAGCAACTAGATGGTGGTTAACTAGAGTAGAATTGTAATATTACTTATCTGTTATTTAATAGATCCTCGTGAGATGCTTGGAAGCTGCTCCTCCCAGCAGTTTGCAGTTTTAGACAGGGTCTTGCTGTGGTTGTGGAGAGCAGTGATGTGATCATAGCTCACAGCAGCCTCGAACTCCTGGGCTCAAGCAATCCTCCTGCCTCAGCCTTCTGAATAGCTGGGACCACAGGCACGTGCCACCCCCCCTGGCTTTTTTTTTTTTTTTTTTTTTTTTTTTAAGAGTGACGGGGGTCTTTTGGTTATTGCCTGGGCTGGTCTTGAACGCCTGGCCTCAAGCCATCCCCCCTACCCCAGCTGCCCAAAGTGATCATAGGCACGATCCCTGTCCTAACGGTTTAAACATTTCCCTAGAAATCATGTTCCTATGTTTAGCAAACTGCCCTCCCTCCTGTCACCCCTCCCGTTAGTTAAAGGCACATTTCAGCCACTTACCTTTTCATATTTGCACAAACTAAATTAAGCCCAAATGGAGTTTTCTGGAAGCTTTGCTGCTGGGGTGCAGCTTCAGCTTGCTGCCTGATGCACACACAGTCTAGGTAGGAAAACAACTTCCCTGACCTGCCCAGGGAACTCTTTTCTGTCTCTGGTTTGATTGATGTGAGTTACCACAGACTTATTAGTGACTTGTGTGCAAGATTTGGGTCTCTGGGGCAAGTCCCTTCCCCACTTAGTCTGGGAACAGTGACCTAGAAGCTGGGACCAAAACAAGAGCCGGGAAAATGTGAAGGCTCAAGAGGCCCAGAGGCAGCAGGATCCTTGGGATGGGCCAAACGTGGCTGCAGGGAACAGGCGCGCAGGGCGCGGAAGTGCAACGCTGGCAGCTGGAGGCAGCGCCCCTGACGAGGCTTTCCGCGTGTGGCAGAGGCAGGAAAGGGTTTGTGGGGAGAGTGACAGGAGAGAAGTGAAAGCCCAAAAGGGGTAGTTGAACCAGCAAGGGCAGTGAGGAACTCAACACGAGGCCTCTGCAGGGACCCCGTATATCTCCATCCCAAATCATCCTAACCTGTCCCTGGCTTCCTACATTATTAGAAAGGAATGATTCCTAAGCTGTGGTGTGACTGACCACACCTCAAATCCATGGTTTCAATCTCAGCGGACCTCAGGGATGCGGTTTTACTCAGTGTCCCTTGGCTCCCTGATCCAAGCAGCAGTCTCAGACCTCGGTCACTCTCCGCAGTGCCTGCCTCCCCTGGTGTCGCCAGGATAAAGAATACCATCAGGCCATCCCCCACCCACCCCAAGTACAAGGGGCAACTCTGCCTTCACAGCTCCCATCCACCTGGGCATCTTCCTCCAGTCCTGCCCTCCTCCCCCGACCCCGCCCCGCTGCCCCCATCTCCCAGCACCTGTCTTCTTACTGTCAGTGACTCATTCCTTATCGGCATGTGATATCTGCAGTAAATATTCCTCCACTGCATGTGACCACCACACAACCACTTCATTCTTGAAATCTTTTTTTTGTTTGTTTTTGAGGCACATTCTCCAGATCTCCAGTGTCTCTGAATTCTCACACTCAGCCTTCTTTGATGGCTCTGCTTCCACTGGAAACCTCCACGCTGTAGGAGTGTGTTTGGCGGGGAGAGGGAGTCAGGGAGTCTGTCTTTCCACTGAAGCCCATTAGGTGACTCTGTTGCAAGTGACTCAGCGACCACTCTTGGAGAACCACGGGTCTTCCAGATGCCCTCAGGCACCGCAAATGCAGCCTGTGCATAGAGACCCACTTCTCCCGGCTCCCTCCCGCGGTTAAGGGGGGTCCTGCAGTCCCTGCCTACCTCCACCTCCTGCAGTACTGCCCTCAGCCTCATCCCCTAACCCAGCGCACCCTCCGAGTTACTCTTCCCGGGTGCACCTTGGGCCATGCCGCTTCCTTTGCCATCTCTCACCTCTTCACTAAGGAAAATCTCACTTCTTCTTTCTTGGCACAACTAAAACGCACCCTTTGAAAATCCTTCCCCCATTCCCTGAAGGCAGAATTCCCCTCCCCCACTCTTTCTGATCCTTGGCACTAGGATGCCCCTGGCTAGGCTGAGCTCCCAGCCATGGTTTTCTCAATGACTGACTGTGCCTGAGAACCTGCAGCTTCTTAACCGCGCAGTACCGCACACGGCCTGTGCTCACTTCACCGTCAGCCGCTCTGGGCCCTTGGACACCCACTCTCAGCCTCTGTGCCTTCTTAAGTACCAGACACTACTAACTGCACTAAGAAAACAGCCCACAAAGGAGGGTAAAGCGCCTCCTCCCAGAACATCAGGACCCTGAAGATAAAGCCAAGTGCATCTTTCTGCAGATAAGGCTGACGATGGCAAGCTTTTCCTGTAAGGGACGGACGGTAAATATTTCAGGCTTCAAGGGCCGTAGGGTCTCTGTCCCCATTATTCCACTTTGCTGGAGTAAGACAAAGCACCCACAGACAACATGCAGAGAAGCAAGAGGGCTGTGTGCCAGTGCACTTTATTTGTAGACACTGAAATTTGAATTTCATGTAATTTTCAAGTGTCATTAAAAATTCTTTTTCCTTTTTCAACCATGTAAAGATGCAAAAAGCCATTCTTAGCTTGGGGGGGTTAGGTTGATGCTCCTTGGTTTATGCAGCCAACACAAGAGCTGTGCCTAACTTGTATCCTTTGGTAGTAAGTCACACACCTTTATTTATTTATTTTTTTGACTAAAAAGCCTCTGAAAATGAAAACTTTACATATGCAAGTACAGAGGAGTCAGAGACCTTCTGACGGAGCAGGAGGGGCAGAAACTGCTCCTGAAGGCCAGGGACAGCCAGCCCCGGGCCGATGCTGCCCCCTAGTGACTGGCCGGCCTAACGTCAGCCTCCCATCCCACAGCCACGCTGTGACTGATGCGGGTGTGTTCCCCAACACACAAAATAAGGACTTCAAATCAGTTAAATCAGAAAGTGAAAAGGTAAAGAATTTTAAACCCCGATAAATCATTTAAAGTGAAAAAGCAGGCTTTAATTCACAGAATTTCAGAACCGAAAGGGAACTTTTGAAATGACTTAGTTCAAATTTTATACCAATTTACCAACCATCCATGTGGCTTTCGGGTAAAAAAAGGAAAGCTCCAGAAAGAAAGGGCTGGTGGCCCATGAATGTTCGCGGAAGAGCTTGCCTGGGAGTCCTGCCCGCCGGATGTCACTGCAGGGCTGTCTGCACCTCACACCGACACACCCGCGAATCGTCAGAGGTGGCAAGGGGCAGCACCCTTGTAGCCACCCTGCCTGGGCTCACTGTCACCCAATCATCTGTGCCCTTGGATGCCGACTCTTAGCCTATGTGCCTCAACTTCCCTAACCGTAAAACAGGGCAGAGTTCCTCCCTCACAGGGCTGTAGAGGCTGAAATGAGCTGATGAAGTCGGGCCCATACTGGGCATTCAAGTGTGACCTGCATGACAAACTTCTTCAGAGCCTACCGTGTGTTGGACATTGAGTGCTTTATGTGTTTGCCAGGTTTAATCTGTGCAACTATTCTACAAAGTGAGTGTCGTCATCCCCACTCTGTAACACCAGCCCGAGAAAGGTCACATGGAGTGTGGTGGGTGCCATCTCTTGTACAATTGACTTTGTGAAGGCATGGAAGGTTCAATTAAGTTACCAGGCAACAAATATGACCTAACTCCAATAGGCTAGCACGAGTGAGCACTCAGTAACTGCCAGGCAGCCTGGTGGTGTGCTTTGCCTTCAGCAGGGCTTGTTGGGAGTGGGTGGGGGTGACCATTCTTGTTTCTGTGAAGGTTACTTTGTCACCATTTATCTTTGCCTGTGGAGTGTCTTGGGGGCAATGGGCAGAAGGGGTACTTGGGACAATCTAGATGTGAATGTCAGAGCTTTAAACACGTCAGCAGTCACCTGTCCTTTCTGCTTGCCCCATTAGTTCACTGGATCTGATGGAATAGTCAATTCACGCACACAACTTTTGGGAGGCACCTCTGTGTGCTAGTGGGGTTATCCGCACACATTTAAAATCTGCACTGATGCCACTTGAATGTACCTGATAGGCCAATGCTGAAAGCCTCGTTCTCAAAGTCCTGAATGTTTCTCTCCGGAAACTTTTCACCATCCCACGTCTTCAAATCCTTCAAGAGATACATGGAAGAGGCATCCCTATGGGACAGGACGTGGCCTGTGTTCCAGGCATGCCCACGACCTGGTCCAGCCCTCCTAGGAATCCAGAGGCCGCCCGGCCATCCCGCCTGTGGGCTCCTATCACCTCACACAGCTCCATAAAGACACAGCTCCAAAAAGCCACCGCCCTGGGCTCTGCCGGAAGCACTGTGGGGGCAGGAAGTGGCGCTGGGAAGTGAGCCCCGACATCAAGCAGAGGCCGGAGCTTCCTTACAGGCCTGTCTGCAGCACTTCATCTCGCTGAACGCAAAATTCCTTTCCTATAAAACGAGAGGGAGAATTCCCTCTGCACTCCCCAGCTGTGATGACCAAAGGAAACCTTTGAAGTGTTTACACACAAACTGAGATTTCAACTGCTGAATGAGGGGATGGCTCAAGTTGCTTTTATGGCCAGCTGCCTGCATTCATTAAGGTTTCGGGCACAGGCTTACAACCCCAATGTTCTCTCTCTTACGTTTAATGTTCTCTAAATTAGGTCAGTAGGAAATAACATCTGCTTGCTTGCACTGTCCTCGTCCCCCACCAGGTGGCATTGCGTTCCAATGAGCAATCTTCTGGTGAGAGGCTGGTGGAGGCCTCCTTTCACAGCAGCTCAAATTGGAACTGCAAGAGGAAAAAGAAAAACAATGAAGAACCACCCAACCCCCGACCTCGCCACAACTCCCACCGCCAAATTTCAAAGAGCAATACAGGATCATGGGATCGAGAGCTTCTGGGGACCAAGCCCTGCATTCACGAGGTGACTGCATGAAGGGTCTCTGGTCTCCATACGTGTGATGTGCCCCCCCATTCCAGAACAAACAACAGGAAGCCCCAAACCCCCAAAATTCAAAAATTGATAAACATCTGCATACACACACAGAGCTCAGGTGATGTGTACCCCTGTTCCAATCCAGGGGCTTACATTTTTCAACAGAGGACAGCATTTAGGAATTAGCTAAATTTCCCTCTGGCATGCGGCCAAATTCTTTTTGCATGGACAGGCACAACAGCTGTATCTGTAAGCAGCAGTAACATCAAATATGATGTGAGACTGATTTTAGGAACCCAAACTGTGCAAGCCAATATGCTAACGTGCATCTAGGGAAAGACGCGGTTGCCCGCCGCGGCCTGTCCTCTCTGCGCACAGGGTCATCTTAACAATATGGTAAGTGAGGGCGCTCCAGTTAAAACGTTCCTTCCACCCTAAGCTGACACCTGCCTCTCAGCCCTGGGACCCCAGGGCCCCCGCATCCTCATAACAGCTGGTCTCGCCCCCTGAAGAGAGGAAGATGTAGAGATGTCGTGACATTTCTTTACGTCATGTCTCACACCTCAAAACTCATTGCTCTGAAAATCACTGAGCCCTCTTGGTGGGGTGGGGTGGAGGGGTCAGTATTTCTTCTTTATTAAGATTATGGGAGCGTCACTGGGTGGAACTACTGTCACAGCTTGTCTCCATATCGTTCCACTGCTTTAACCTTAGAACGCTTTTGGAATCTGTATGGAGAACTGAGAAAGGCGTCTTCCACGCTAATATGGACGGTGCTAAGCAGTAGGTACGTGTTAAGAAAAAAAGGTATTTTACACTGTGCTTTATCATCTCTTTGGAACCTTCTCAGAAAAATCTGATTCTTAGTGCTTACATTAAAAATTAAACGTTGATTTGCCATGAACTTTACTTTGGTACAAAATAATCAAGACTGCACGACTTGGCATGTCTGTACAGTCCTTATCTGCCATTAACTGGCAAGCTCCCCAACTAGGTTTCATCCGTGAGGGTAAGGAAGAGCTTCTATGTCCTGTATCAGTGCCTGGGGCAGAATTAATTAGTCTAATGAAGCACTATGTTTGCTAGGTTCCTCACCACCCAAACAGCCACTGCCATCGCTCTCACCCAAACAGGTTCTCATCCACACTTCCCCCCCACCCTTTATTTTTAAAGACAGGGTCTCACTGTCACCCAGGCTGCAGCACAGTGGCATGATCTTGGCTCACTGCCACCTCTGCCTGCTGGGCTCAAACGATCCTCCTGCCTCAGCCTCCCAAGTTAGCTGGGACTACAGGCGTACACCAACATGACCAGATAATTTTTGTACTTTTTGTAGAGATGGGGTTCCGTCATGTTGCCCAGGCTAGTCTTGAATTCTTGGGCTCAAGCGATTTGCCTGAGGCCTTGGCCTCCCAAAGTGTTGGGATTATAGGTGTGAGCCACTGCACCTGGCCCTGTATTGCAGTCTCCCTGTTCATCAAAATTGACTTCAACTAGAATCTGAGTGGCTTCTCAGTGCTATTTCATTATGTTGGATCTTTCCCATGGAATTTTCACTTAAACTTCTGAGCTGTAATTTATTTATTTATTTGAGATGAAGCCTCACTGTCACCCAGGCTGGAGTGCAGTGGCACGATCTCAACTCACTGCAACCTCCATCTCCCAGGTTCAAGCGATTCTCCTGTCTCAGCCTCCTCAGTAGCTGGGATTACAGGCACGCGCCACCATACCCAGCTAAGTTTTTGTATTTTTGGCAGAGACAGGGTCTCACCATGTTGGTCATGCTGGTCTTGAACTCCTGACTCAAGTGATCCACCTGCCTTGGCCTCCCAAAGTTGTTGGGATTACAGGAGTGAGCCACTGTGCCCAGCCACTGAACCATAATTTAAAAGAGACATTCTCATTTTACATCTAGGGAAGATAAAGTTGAGAACATCAACATTCCTTCTACCTATCTCTTCCTTTCCTTTCTAAATGGGCCTTCCCATGGCCAATCCCTTAGTCTGGGCCCTCCTGGCCAAGCCTAACCTGTCTTTCAACTTCCAGCCTCTCTTTCCTTAACCAACAAAGGAAGAGGATTTCCCCTAATACCATTGTCACCGTGTTTTCCCTCTATTTAAAACTTGGAAACTTCCCATTTTTCATTCAACCAACTCCAAATTCTCCTGTCTGATCCAATTTTTTCTACTGTACCCACAAAACTTGAAACTCTTATAATTTTCCCTCTACTACTGCTCTATCCCCCCCCCACCTGTCCCCAACCACCCAACCACACACTGCTGTCACATTTTTGTTCCTGGCCAGCCTGCACCCCCACCCCGGGGCTCCTTTTTAGATGCAAAGACCGAGGCTGCACATGCATTCCCCACCTAGCCTTCCACAGCACTACAACACCATCTCCAGAGGGGGTCAGGATACCCATTCAGGGGTCCCTACTACATTGCTGGTACAAGTGAAAATCACTTGGAAAACAGTATGGCAAATCTCAGCAAACTGAGTACTTGCATGTCCTACAACCCAGCCCCTGCACTCCCAGCTTGACGCCCTAGAGAACTTGTGTACACATGAACCAGGAACAGCAGCCTTGTTTGTAACAGAAAAAAAAATAAAAACCACCCAATGTCCATTGACAGAATGGAGAAATTATCTATATTATTCCCCACAATGAGACTATTAGAAGGTAGTGAAAATGAATAAATATAAGAACATAAACATAAGAACCATGAAGTCAGATGAACAGAGCCAGTCACACAAAGCTAGGCACAAAAGGATACCCTTTTTACAAAGCTCAAGAAAAGCATAAAGAATTTGTATATTTAGGAGCAGTGTGTGGGAAAACAAAAAAGGAAAAGACTAACACAAGGCTGGGCATGGTGGCTCACGCCTGTAATCCCAGCACTTCATGAGGCCAAGGTGGGCAGATCACCTGACAGGGTCAGGAGTTCGAGACCACCCTGGCCACCATGGTGAAACCCCATCTCTACTAAAAATACAAAAACAATTAGCCAGGCATGGTGGTGCACACCTGTAATCCCAGCTACTTGGGAGGCTGAGGCAGGAGAACCGCTTGAACCTGGGAGGCGAAGGTTGCAGTGAGCCAGTATCATGCCATTGCACTCCAGCCTGGGCAATAAGAGTAAAACTCCAACTCAAAAAAAAAAAAAGAAAAAAAAAAAGGACTAATACCATCTAGAGTAGTGGTTATCTCAGTGTAGTGGGGGAAGGAGAAAAGGGATAGGTAAGGATATGGAGACATGCTAGTTAATGTGAATTTGGGTTCATGATTTACTCGTTACCTATAGGTGCATTATTTGTTGGCTGAAAAGGAAAGCTGGTGCCCTGTAAGCAATCAGGGAATCTATGATCATTTCAAACTCACTGCCCACCCAACCGGATCCAGTCATTAGGAGGCTCCTGCCAAAGAGCCCGGGCCCAGGAGGGTGCTGGCCACTAGGACTCCTGCAAAGGCGGTGTGGACCAACAACGCAGGCCCCCAACCATCTTAGAAATTACCTACCACTTAAAAACTTTGAGCCTGGATTATAGACAAGATAAAAAATGAAATAAAAAATAGTACATATTGTACTGAGAGAGGGGCCTGGCTAATAAAACCGCACTAACAAAGTTGATAAAGTAATGAGTCGTTTACACTTTTGGTGGGTAAAGGCCCAAACTGGAAACATGAGCTCAAGGTTAACAAGGACTCTGCCTCATTGCTACCACAGCCTTTGGTACACGGTGGGTATTCAACATTCATGGAGCACAGTCCCCATTTCTCTAGCAGTCACACAGATAAGCTCTATATAAAGTTATTTGGGAGGCCAGGCACGGTGGCTCACGCCTGTAACCCCAGCACTTTGGGAGGCCAAGGCACGCAGAGCATTTGAGGTCAGGAGTTTGAGGCCAGCCTGGCCAACATGGGAAACCCCGTTTTTACTAAAAAGACAAAAATTAGCTGGGCATGGTGGTGCACATCTGTAATCCCAGCCTCTCAGGAGGCTGAGGCAGGACAATCGCTTGAACCCAGGAGGCAGAGGCTGCAGTGAGCTGAGATCGTGCTATTGCACTCCAGCCTGGGCAACAGAGCAAGATCCTGTCTCAAAAGAAAAAAAAGTTATTTGGGAGAAGAATTGAGGAACATCCAGATGGTAAATAACTTTGGGATTCACTGCCCACACTGCATGGAAATGGGTTGATCCTTACCCCCCAAAATAATTACATACATAAATAAAACTTAAAAAAAAATCACCATGTATGATGTCCTATCTCCACTCTCACAAAATTTGCAATAAGGCACAATTCTTAAGCTGTTTTTCATTTTTTTATTGCTGTTAATTCAAGGAAAAAAGGTTGCATAAAATCCAATCTGTTCTAGAAATATAAGTGGCCTTTCCAGTACATAACATTTCAAATATCAAAGTATATGGTAAACATACAAATAAGGAGAAGGTAACATACCTCCTATGTACAGTACAGTATTTTAAATCATAAAATAAGCTCCATAAAGTACAACTGGCAAGTGATTCACAATGCGGCCCATACGTGGCTTATCAAAACTCTCACTTGAACAACTCAACTGCAGCTTAACAATTAATTTAATAATGTGGTCCAAAAATACCCAGATCAAATAAAATATATTTAATCAAAATAATTTCCTTTACTTGAACTTTCTTTCTAAATTAAAGCTTTCATCTACCCCTTCACACCCACCCCTTCCCCATAACTCCCGCCCCTGAAAGAAAGTTTCAAAATGTACATTGGTGCTATAAATATAAATGCTACTTATGAAGCATGAAATTAAGCTTCTTTTTTCTTCAAGTTTTTTCTCTTGTCTAGCAATCTGTTAGGCTTCTGAAACAAGACCAAATGTTTACGTTCCTCTGCTGCATACCAACGTTACTCCACACAACAAAAATCTATCATTTCTGCTCTGTGCTGAGGAATGGAAAAATGAAAACCCCCAACCCCTTAACCCTAGCACTATACAGTGGAAGCTGTTCATTGCTGATGAATGCAGCAGTCACTAAAAAATACACCCAATCTTCCAGATAACCTCAGTGCACTTTAGGAAATCAAAAATTACCTGGAAGCAATTTAGTACATAGATTGGCTTTTTAAAAAAACTTGTTTTTAAAAACAGCAGCATTAAACTTAGTGACATGACACCGACATGATTAATACCATCTTAACACACTCAGAATTTAGTCTTTCACATTATAATCAAACATAGTGGTAAACTGTTATAAAAGTGACTTTGCTACGAGAGACAGGTTAGGAAACAAATAACCTGACTTACGGTAGAAACCCATAGCTCTGTTCAGACTGCAATAAACCATACACATTGCAAACACAACGTAACACTGTAACAGTTGGTATAGGGAAAGGAGAAATCTTGACTTAAGTAGTGTCTCTGTGAGCACAACACGGTGGTGGACAAGTGAAACTGGCTGGAGACTTTCATGACAAACACAAGCACACGGAGAACGACATTCACACCAGTGTGTTCACTTTGTGTCTCTCTGAAGCAACAGGCTAAAAAAGTATGATGGAAGTAAAAAGTTGGTTTCAGAAAAAGCTTTTTGTCCATTTTGTACGTCATATTTTTTCAGTTTCATATGGTTTGACTTCTTCCTCTCTCTTCCACTTATTTTCATCTTTATTTGGACAATAAGCACTGCATATATGTATTTACGTGACGCTGTTTATTACATATATACACACTATTTCGGGAGTTTGATTCCTCCTGTAAGATCAGGGTGAAACATTCTGCCCTTGGTTTATATGCAGAGCAGTTTATGAAAGTGGGTGAATGCACTGCTGGCCGCTCCTGCTGCGGGCCGAGGACAGAGTGAGGCTGGCTGGGGAGGAAAGTGTCGTTTACGGTGAAAGTGAGAAAAGCTAGGGAAGAAGCAAATTTTTTTCTTTTTTTCAAAACCATATGACTGTCACCAGTGTTGTTAAAAAAAGGTCAAATACACAGTTTTAAAGATTCAGTAAACATTGCACACAGCAAGTATTCAGTGTAAAAAAAAAAAAAAAAAGCACGCACCAACATTTTCCTTTTGATAGTTTGTCTGAAAGTTTAAATTACATGTATCATACATATAAGCCTGTTGTTGAACCAGGAGACCGGAGGCTCAAAAGCATTGCATTCTTTCTTGTTTTGGACATTGGTACAAGAGAAATGAAAAATCCCAACTGCATAGAAATCTAGGAAATGTATAGACAAAGAAACAAAATACCTTTCCTTTCCTCCCCTCCACACCCCATGACTCCCCACACTTGAGTGTATTAAGTAGGCAAGCTTTACTCGTTTCAGTCTGCAGAATCCAACGTATCATTAGAAGGGGGGAGGGGAGGTGCGTATCTCAGTCTGTAAGTGCCTAAAATGGGAAAGACAGAACTAAGTCACCGCTTACAAGGAAATGTCATCACAAACCACTACGTACAAGCTATCACACGGGCATGCTCTCCAAAAGGCACCTTCGTCAGCTCTAGTGCTACTCCAAATGGCCAATCCACTCACTTAAAAAAGCAAGGTAAAGTTTGTGCTTTGAATTCAATCTAAAGGCTATCAAACTTGATCTTCCTTTAAGAATGCCAAGGAAATATATTCCCAATTTAAGACTTTTTTGTTTCTGGGTAAGATCTGGCAAAATGACAAAGGCCAAATTCAAGTGAAAGTAACAGTTTGAAGTTGACACAAAATTTGGTATCTTACTCAAACATATTTAAGAGCATTTTCTTCCTTCTGGTGGTAGTAATATTAAACTTTGTTCAAATTCCTTTACTCTCAAATCAGTGCTGAACTATTTTGTTCCTTTACTGTAAAATGCAATAGAATCTTGGGTTTTTTTTTTTTTTTTTTTGAAGCATTTGCTGGGAAGGAAAAGGGCAGCATGGGGAAACAGGCACGAGGCCAGCTGGTTATGCAGATACACTACATAGTTCCTCAAAACCTAATGTCAGATGACTAGATTACTTCCTAGGTTTTCAATATATAAAAATTTTGCTTACTCTATGACAGGACTGTGACTTAAAAAAAAAACTGCTGCAAGCAAGAGATTTAACATTACAGAATTCCCACCACACTCCTTCAAAAGGGCCTTTAGAGTTACTCCTTAATTGGAAACTGAAATCCTCTGAACTTCCTTGTGCTGTGTGACCTGAGTCTACGCTAGGTTTTTCCAGTTGCATTTTATGATCTGTCACTGAAAACACAACATCTGTAAACAAAAACACAAACAGATCTTTCTACTACGACAGAATCCCATGATCAGTAAGGAAAGGAAGAAATGAGTGAACTCAAAAACAAGTCCTCTGGGAGTTATTGTGATTACCTTGTTGATTGGCCTCCATGGACGACTGCTTACAGTCCTGTGCATAGTGTCCGCTTACACCACAATTGTAACATGAGACATTCCCATTCTTCTTGGGCCCCGAACCACTGGTGTTGGCAACTACATTAGGTGCTGGATATACAGGATAGAATCTCCCAAATCCTGCCATCTGCTGCATGCCATAGTTGGCTTGGCTCCCCATGACTGGGTCATGTACCAGTCCATTTGCATATGGAGTCTGAGGCAGAAAAAAAGGAAGTTGGTTTCCATTGCTCTGATGTGCTTGGTTGAGGTAGCTGCCATTGCAAATGGATGGCAGAGTAAAGAATGAAGGGACTCGGTACATTGGTCCAGGCATCGGATTAGGATAATAGTAACTGTTTAGCTGAAGGTTTCCATTGGTCCCACAGCTGCACCTTCGCCCACAAGAACCACAAGGACCCGAGCCCATCTGCTGCGGTGGCACTACTGTCCCATTAGCGTTCGTGTTCCCCACAGCACTGATGTAAGAGGTGCTGTCACTCTGCGCGGTACTGTGTGTCAAAGCAGGGCTTGGGCTCGGGGCAGGGCCTGGGGTGTGGGTAGGAACTGCGGGAGGAACAGTGGCCTGGGCCTGGCTGATGCCTGCGCTCGCTGGCTGGGGAGAAGTTGCTGCTGTGCTGAGCACACTGGAGTTCTGGCTGGGTAACACGCCGGCAGCAAGGGGAGAGCCTGGTAAGGGGTAGGAAGCTGGTGGCTGAGCAGCTGAGAGGCCAGCTGCTGGAAGGACTACCTTCACATTGGTAGGCTGAGGGACTGTCCCTGTGTTTCCCTCAATTTGAGGCACCATTTGATTGAGTCCTACCACTTGGGATGCGGATTTTGTGATGGGGTCCGTGGTAGCAACAGGAGAGCCTGGGAAACTACCTGGGTTATGGATAGGAATAAAGGCAGTGTTTGGTGATCCAATGCTCAGACTTCCGGGTGGTTGCTGTGGGATGTTAACTGTGCAGCTCTCAGAAGATCCCTGTGGTGGTGGCAACTTTAGCCTCTGAACTGTTAGATGCAAAGCGGGAGTGCTACTATGTGGAAGAAAGGTTGATGGAATAGGTAAAGGGGAAGCCAGTAACTCAAGGTGCTTTTCCGATTCTCCAGTGGAAGCTGTTGGCCCTAGTATTCCAACGGGGGTTGAATTTGCAGACTCCCTTATTGCAGAAATAGCAACAGGACTAGGAACAAGCATCCCTATGGTTTTGCCATCAGCGGATTTGGGTGCAGGAACGATGACTTCAGACTTCTGGGCACCATTGTGCATGACACAGTGTAAAGTTGGCATAAAGGAAATATGCTGATACTTGGGTGAGTTTAAGGGATCTTCTAAAAGGTTTCCATTCTCATTTCCTAGTGAAGCAATTTGAACTGGTGGCTTGACAGTGACAGTCTGGTTGACAGAACCATAACCTGTAAACCTAGTTGTTGATGGATTTCCAGAATCCTCAGAATTGCTGTCTGTGTCTAAAGAAAACAAATATAAAGAGATATTAGCACAAGCATAAATCCCATCTTTCTTGTTATAAACAAACATTAAGTATATCTCAAAGTAACTCAAGTTTGGAAAGGGTCCCTCCTCCATGATGTTTCTTGACTGTCCAGGCTGACCTCCCTTAACTTTTGGCTTTTGATGGGTCATCATTAGATCAATGCTTTATTTTAAAAATGCGAGGATATAAACAAAAAACCAAAACATAAAAGGCTGGAGACCGAATGAAACACAGTATAAAACAGAGATTTATGTAACACCATTGTTGTACTGAGACTCGTAGCCTTAATAAACTTCAGGCAATCCACTTGGTTTATATTCTGCACTGCCAACCCAAGTTCTTCAATTTGTCTCAGGTAAACGATATAATTTCAAAGAGCTCAGTTAAGACAGTATTTAACTCAAATATCTAGACATAGGGAACAGAAGAGGTTTTTTTTTGTTGTTGTTCTTGTTTTAGAATGGAATCAATATTCTTAATACTAAATATTTAAATGCAGGGAAGAAAATTTAAAGCCATTACTGAAAAAAACAACATGAGAACTTCGCGAAGTATGCACAAGTTTTAACAGCCGAATTGATCAAGCAGAAGAAAGGATATCAGAGGTCGAAGACCAACTCAATGAAATAAAACGAGAAGACAAGATTAGAGAAAAAAGGATAAAAAGGAATCAGCAAAGTCTCCAAGAAATGTGGGACTATGTGAAAAGACCTAATCTACGTTTGATAGGTGTACCTGAATGTGATGAAGAGAATGAATCCAAGCTGGAAAATACTCTTCAGGATATTATTCAGGAAAACTTTCCCAACCTAACAAGGCAGGACAATATTCAACTCCAGGTAATATGGAGACCACCACAAAGACATTCGTCAAGAAGACCAACCTCAAGGCACATAATCGTCAGATTCACCAGGGTTGAAATGAAGGAGAAAATACTACGGGCAGCCAGAGAGAAAGGTCAGGTTACCCACAAAGGGAAGCCTAACAGACTCACAGCAGATCTCTCAGCAGAAACCCTACAAGCCACAAGAGAGTGGGGGCCAATATTCAACATCCTTAAAGAAAAGAACTTTCAACCCAGAATTTCATATCCAGCCAAACTAAGCTTCACAAGCGAAGGAAAAATAAAATCTTTTGTGAACGAGCAAGTACTCAGAGATTTCATCACCACCAGGCCTGCTTTACAAGAGCTTCTGAAAGAAGCACTACACATAGAAAGGAACAACCAGTGTCAGCCTTTCCAAAAATATACCAAAAAGTAAAGAGTATCAACATAATGAAGAATTTACATCAACTAATGGGCAAAACAGCCAGCTAGCATCAAACGGCAGTATTAAACTCACATATATTATTATTAATCCTAAATTTAAATCGCCTAAATCCCCCAATCAAAAGACACAGCCAAAACCCATCAGTATGCTGCATCCAGACCCATTTCACATGCAAGGATACACAAAGACTCAAAACAAAAGGATGGAGATTTACCAACCAAATGGAGAGCAAAAATAAATAAATAAATAAAAAGGAGTTGCAATTCTCGCCTCTGATAAAATAGACTTTAAAGCAACAAAGATCAAAAGAGGCAAAGAAGGATATTACATAATGGTAAAAGGATCAATGCAACAAGAAGAGCTAACGATCCTAAATATATACGCACCCAATACAGGAACACCCAGATACATAAGACTTATAAAGAGACTTAGACTCCCACACAATAATAGTGGGAGACTTTAACATCAATATTAGACAGATCGATGAGACAGAAAATTAACAAGGATATCCAGGACTTGAACTCAGATCCGGAACAAGTAAACTTAATAAACATTTATAGAACTCTCCACTTCAAATACACAAAATATACACTCTTATCAGTACATCACACCTACTCTAAAAGTGACTAAGTTAATCATTTCTCAGTAATTGCATAGCATTTCACAGGTTTAAATGAAATATTGGTTGGCAGCTTGCTTGTTATTTTCTTCCCTCATTTCTTCCTGGCTCCATTATTAAGCAAACACACACACACACACACAAAAAGAAAATTTAAAGCCATTATTAATCATAAAACAGACAAAAAAAAAAAACCAGAGGAATAGGAGAGTACGGCAATTTCTCCAAAATCAAAACAGAAAAACAGCAGATATAAACGACACTGCATCGGCTGTTACTCCTGCATCATCTTACACTTGTGTACAGAAATAGTGTCCACCTAGCCTTTGGGGATTGTCCTGACTTTTGGTATGGAGGGGAGAGGATAAAATCTGATTCACAATATTTACACATCATAGACACAGATGCTGTGTTGATGTATACACAGACCATTCCATTAAATGTAGTGCCTATTTAAAAATCTTTCTGCTCATAAGGATAAGCTGAATTGCACTAGGTACTTAAAATATTTGTATTCATTAAGGCACGAACTGGTAATACTCAGCTTAAGATGTTAAAAATTTTTGAAACAGAAAACTAAAAACAAATTAGTCAAAAGAAATTCCCCCCCAAAACCAATTAGTCTTCCTGAAGAAAGATGACATGAAAGCTACTTACTGACACAGAACATCAACTGTATTACTAATTCAATGACTTTATATCAGAAGAGATTCAAAGAGTAAATGTATTTGGCATAAACTTCCCCTGATAGATTAATAACTGGGGTATTCCTTGCTAAATTTTACAAAATAAAAACTATTCAAAAATCCTAACTTATTTAAGGCATTTTTATCTGTATCATCACACCACTGCAGAGTTAAAACTAAAAATGTGAAGTCTAAAAGAAGCAGAAATATTTTTTAAGAAGTCAGTTAAATTTCTATGTGTTTTAATCTTAAGTCACAGCAAATGGCTTCATGATTTTTAATGCTCCCAACTGGTTTTTTGAAGCATCATGAGACTCCTCTACACCTGTCGAGACACGTCTCACCCTTTTGTGCACTGATTTCAGTAAGTGTAAAGCCTCAAACAGAATACCATCACTACTCAGGAGAGCAACAGCAAAGCCACCCATGCACTTTTCAAAGCAGCCTTTTCATCCACTCAGAATTCTAAAAATGATCAAAGCTCTCTACCATAATGGATATTTTCCTTGGGTGAAGAGAGCCCTAAGTCATTCTTTTGTATTTAATAACAGCCTATTTGAAAAAAGCCATGTTCCTCCACACAGGCCACCAACTTATGCTGTCTGATGGCAGGAGAGGGATGCTGTCATTACCCAAGTGTACAGATGTACACCAACACTTCTGACAAGGCCACATCTGCAGTGTGAGCCACAGAGTCACCTGCATATCCTAGAGAACCAAGCATAAATGTGCAATGAAACATACTCAAAGTTTGTCTATTCTGGGTAAGGCATAAACATTCTTTCATTTAATGCCAGGTGCAGAGGCTCCTGCTTGCAATCTCAACACTTTGGGAGGCTAAGGCGGGAGGATCACCTGAGCCCAGGAGTTCAAGAACAGCCTGGGTAACACAGTGACACCCTGTCTCATAAATTGAAAAAAAAAAAAAAAAATAAGAAAAATAAGAAGAAAAATCCTCTCATTTAAGCTTCATAATAGCATGGTGAGAGATTTTCATTTTTTTTTCTTTCACAAGGAAACTGCAGATCAGACGTATGGTGTTGTCTCAGATTAGAAGAATTGGTGGTAGAGTAACTATGCCATATTTGGTATGACTACAAAATAACTGCAAAGTAAACACTGACTTTAACTGCATGTGATGTAGCAACACTATTGCATATCTCCCTGAGACATAGCCTGATACCATAACTCAGAAAGCTAAGGTCCCAGAGAGCTGCAGATTTCCCAGGAAGAAACCATACTTGGCTGAAACAATATGTGCTAAGGATCTTAATCTGCAGGTGGACCATGAGAAGTAACTTGATACTGCCCACCAGCATGGGTACGCCTCATAACCAAGGTGTCACCAATCAGATGTCGTCATCATGTGTAAAGACAACACTCTCATTCAACATACACATTTTGAAGGAGATCTCACCTCCACACTAGAATGGTGGAGTAAGACCTCTAATAATCCATTGTTTCATAAAAGCAATGAAAACCCTAGCAAAAACTGTCAAATAACCAACTTTTTCAAAATTCTGGCAATTAACTAAAGGCTTACAGCACTCTGAGCAGTGTTTATTAAAAAGAAAAACAGCTCAATCTGTAAGAACAGAAAACCTCAAGGCGTTTTCCCCTTTCCTACTGCCACTCCTCCTTTCTCCAGCTCTAAAATAGCTCTGTAAATGACTTGTCCCTCAATTTCCAAAATCAGTGCAAAAACTCTCTCTCTTGTAGTACTAGCTATAAAACCCAGCAGCCATTAGGAGTATGGGTCTGGAGTTCCCCAAAAGCCCCATCACCAAACTGTCACCATTTTACTGTCTGGCAGCTAGTGCTCACTCTGTGCTATAGCCTCATATCCACAGGACATTTGTCATGATTAGTCAGAAGCAACTGCTTAGCAAGGTTGCTGCCCGAAGCAGCATTACTAGTTGGGGCTGACAAGAGGCTGACCAGAAAACTTAAAATGAAAAAATGGGGAATGAGACGGCCACAGGAGTCTTTGGAAAGCTTTAATATATTCCTGGGAACCTAAAAGGTTTTGCTCATGCCTATAGCTGTATGCCTTTCCAAGGCAGACCTGAGAAGACCCTAAGCTCTCACTGTTGGCTGATTTTAAGCCTCTGTGCAAGGAGGAACTGAAGACATAATGCACATAGAAAACAACAAAATGGCAGACCTAAAAAACCTGCCTTATTACATTAAATGTAAATGGACAAACAGCAGACATCAGCAGAATGAATAAAAAACCATAATCAGGCCAGGCGTGGTGGCTCACCACGCTTATAATCTCAGCACTTTGGAGGCCCGAGGTGGGTGGATCGTAAGGTCAGGAGTTCAAGACCAGCCTGGCCAACACAGTGAAACCCTGTCTCTAATAAAAATACAAAAATTAGCTGGGCGTGGTGAAAGGCACTTGTAATCCCAGCTACTTGGGGGGCTGAGGCAGGAGAATCACTTGAACCCGGGAGGTGGATGTTGCAGTCAGCGAGATTGTGCCACCGCACTCTAGCCTGGGTGACAGAGCCAGACTCCATCTCAAACAAAACAAAACAAAAAACAAAACAAAACAAAACAAAATCATAATCTAACTGTATGTTGTCTGCCAGAGACAAACTTTATATTTAAAGACACAAATACGTTTAAAATAAAAGGATAGAAATCAAAGTACTGTGAAAGCAGTATCTAGAAGAATGCTGAATTGGCTATATTACTATCAGACAAAATAGATTTTAAGACAAAAATTGTCATTAGAGACAAAGAAAAGTATCTTATAATGATAAAAGGGTCAATCAAGAGGACATAAAGAGCATAAATGTATATGCATCTAACAACACGCCCATTTTCCTTCTTTCTACACTAACTCTACTTCATTATGATCCTGCCTTCATCCTATTTAACTTCAAATGCAATGAAATATGTTTATCAAATCAATACTGCTAGGAATTTCTAAGGTAATTATCTGTATCATTTATATCATTTACATATACCCTTTATATCAATTTTACATTTAAAGTCAGTTAGTGGAATTTATAGGATCATAAAATTCCTTGTTTGTCTTTGACACGAAGACACAACACACTTTTCCCTCCGCTCCCCTGCCCCTGCCATGCCAACAATACCCCCACTTCAAAGAACAAACCTCTGTCTTTTTCTTCTTCACTTTCAAAACTTTCTCTTCCATCATGTCGTGGACTAGATGGAGAACTGTAACTCTCTGATGATGTTTCTCCACATGTGTCATGGCCAGAGCCAATGTCCAAATTCACATCTAAAAATAAAAACACTATTTTAAAAAATCATGCTAAGTCATTTTAAATAAATTTCTAAGTTGAACCATTAGAAATTAATTTTAGTTATAAATATTTTGTTTTCCTACAACCATGTAAAAAATCTTGTCCTTGATCTAGATGAGAACTGATTATTAAATTACAATTTTAACGAAAAATATTTAATATATTCTTAAAACAATGGACAGAATGACTCAATCTTACTGACTTCAAAGAAAAAAAGAGTTAAGGTTCTTTGTAAGGTCTGTCCAATAACATCACTTTGAGCTATCTTCTAAATCTAGATATTTTAACTTCTCAGAGCTTGTTGAAAAATTCATTCTTTACAAGAACTCAAGATGCCTATTCAATTAAAATTACTTGGTTCGAGTAATTTAAGAGAATAAAACGCTTCCCATCTAGTAGATGGAGTGGCCCAGTGAGTTCTGCCCCAAGAGGAAGCCTATACTGAGGTAGTGTGAGGTGGTGCACAGGACCTGCCACGACCAACTAGCCGTATCAGTTTTGAACACATAAGGAGGGACGATAGGTATATCTAGTATTGGACAAGAGATACAAACTTTGGATTTTTTCCTACATGGCCCTGACTTAGGAAAATATTCTGTTATCTCTGTAAACCCAGTAGCTAGCACACTTCTGCCTTACAGCAAGCATTCAATATATGTTTGGTGTATAAATCCCCAAATAAGGGATTCCAAAGGGTTCTTAAGAACCATAGATTAGTGAATCATTTCTATGGCAACTGACAGAACCAGTAAAAGATAACGGGTATTAATTGCCTGGGCAATATATGTGTCAGAGAAAAGACACAATTTGTATAATGAGCAATTCAGGTCACTAACCTGTGGCTTTTGGCTGGGATAAACTTACAAGTGTCAAGACTGTTAACCATGACCTAGATTAGTCTAGCCACTCAACTGTTGGATGAATATTAAAGAAAAATAAAGTCATTAGAAATGTCGATGCTGCTGAATTCTTTCTGAGTAATAAATGTCAAACTGCCAAGGGAAAACTGCACATCTTAAGGAGGCTACAAGGAAAGTGGCAGAGGAGTTCCATAGGCAGGTAATATTTTTTCAGAAAAGTAACCTGGAGGATACTTACTCAGTACTAGGCCCTGAATACAAGTCATAAGGTGACTAAAGGGATGTGAGTCAACACCAACGGCTGCTTGAAGACAATCTAATGGGCCACAGTGGCCAAACAAGTTGTCAATTGGACTAATGATGAAACCTATAGATCTTGCATGGAAGTCTTGCATATAAATATTTCAACCAGCATATAACAAAATGAACAATCCAAGAATCAAGAGAATCAAAAATTCAACAGGATATTGTCAAACTAGAAATGAACTGAAAACGAACCTCCTGGGTAGCGCCCACCAAAACTCAAGACAGTGAAACTACAGTAGGCATTTTCAAACTTCAAAGAGTAAATTTTAGAATATGCTTTTTAAAAAGCAGCTCTCTCTCCAAATGGCATAATTTGCAAAACTATTTTCTTTACACTGTAAAAGCTGGTGAATAGCCTAATCACCAATTGCCATATACTAAACTGCAGCTCCAAAGAAATGAATACATAAATCTAAATCTATACCAAACATAATCTTTTGATGATTCAGAAGGTGCTTCAGAATTGTGTGGTAACTTAAGAACGTTTATAATCACAAATTATGTGATCCTCTAGAGATTCAGGGTGTGTGGAAAGTGAAGATAAACCAAGTATGCCAAAGGATACTCCACAAATTGGCCTTTTAAAAAGAGACACAAACTTGAAATTTTTTTGGTCATGTTTCAAATGATAAAGGGTCTTGCACATAACAAAGACGACAAAAACAATGTTTAAAACCTAAGCTACTATTCTAACACTAAAAATACTGGTTATTGGTAACTATAAACCACAGAGGTCTGTTACAGAGTTAGGAACCATTTAGATAAATCAGGCGATAGAACCACGTATTTCACGTGGGGTATTAAAGAAAGCTGGAGACCTTTAGATTATTCTAAATCTTTTACAAGAAACTGAGAAATCAGCCATCTCATCATTTCCCTCTAAACTTTCTGGTGCCACAATTTGGCAACAGAAGAAATGGTGTGGAAGAAACACTGGCCAATAAACTAAAATGATGATGAACACTCTTTTTTTTTTTTTTTTTTTTTCTTTTTTTGAGATGGAGTGTCATTCTGTCACCCCAGCTGGAGTGCAGTGGCTCAACCTCAGCTCACTGCAACCTTCACCTCCTGGGTTCAAGCGATTCTCCTGCCTCAGTCTTCTGAGTAGCTGGGACTACAGGTAGGTGCCACCACACCTGGCTAATTTTTATATTTTTAGTAGAGACAGGGTTTCACCATGGTGCCAGGCCGGTCTCGAACTCCTAGCCTCGAGTTATCCACCAGCCCTGGCCTCCCAAAGTGCTGGGATTACAGGTGTGAGCAACTGCACCCGGCCATGGTGAGCATTCTTAATTACGAGCTAATATGCACCTCTTCAGGAGAGAGACAGAAAGCTTCGGTTTTAAAAGAAAAGACACTCCAAGAACACAGATAACTGATGGCACTGACTGTCCTGACAGGAGCCAGCACAGAGGAGGGCTCAGAGCGATCTCTTTTCCTTTCGAAATCCTGAGTTATATAAATGTATTATTCCTCAAAACAGAAGTTAAAATTTAAGTTTAATAATAAATTTTTAAAAAGTAAAACAATACAAATCTTAAGCTAGAATGTATTATTTAAAGATCCAAACAAACTGCTAATCAGAAAGACTCAGTATTTTCAGCTTCAAGACAGTGTCTCTTCAATTTATGATATGAACTGTTGCTCCGTACAAAAAACCCTTAGGCACGTATTGAGTTACTGAATGCTTAAAGGCAATGATTCCCTGGTGCCTTAATATTTCAAAGGGAAATTAACACACAGATGGGTTTTTTTTTAAAGTTGGAATTGGCATATATCTGCGGTGCATTTGACATCAATGAGACAAGCTGTACAAAGAATGTTACAAATTGGTGACATATATAGAGGAGAAAATAGATGAACTTAAATATGTTGAGGTTGCTATTTTCATAATAATACTTGAAATTTATGGAAAAAAATGAATGAGTTTGTGATGCTGTTACGAATTTTTTTTTTTTTTTTTTACTTTTAAGAGACATGGACTCACTGTGTTGCCCAGGCTGGAATGCAGTGGCCATTCACAGGCGTGATCCCACTACTGATCAGCACGGGAGTTTTGACCTGCTCCATTTCCAACCTGGGCCGGTTCACCCCTCCTTAGGCAACCTGGTGGTCCCCCGCTTCCAGGAGGTCACCATATTGATGCCGAACTTAGTGCGGACACCCGATTGGCATAGCGCACTACAGTCCAGAACTCCTAGGCTCAAGCTATCCTCCCACCTCAGCCTCCCGAGTAGCTGGGACTACAGGTAGGTGCCACCGCGCCCGGCATACAAAGTTCTTAATAACCTATACAATGTATGTTTCCCTCTAATTTATTAGAACAGGGAAAAGGAACAAGATTGCTGCATTGAACGCCTAGGCACTTGATACTAGGAAAATGCTCTTCATATGTTTTTACATGTAATTCTTACAATCTGCTGAGACAGGCATTACTCCTGTTTTACAAATGAGCAAACAAAGGCTTCAGAGAGGTCACATGCCTAAGAAACTGGTGGAGCAAGACGCTCAAACCCACAGCTGTCTGACCAAAGTCCACGTGCTTCTCCTCTGGAAATAGGCTAACATGGAAAGAACAGTTGCAAACTGCTTTAGTGAGCAGTAGTTCCCAAACACAGTGAGATAAGAGACAGAGATTTTGGGGAGGGCAGGAATTTCATTCAGAAAATGGTGCTTTAGAAAACAAATATGGCAGCAACATGGAAAATGAACTAGAAAGAGAAAGAACAGAGACAGGGAGGCCTAGCAGAGTCAATCTCCAAATGTCCACCTATAGACTTCTGTCTTCCTTATTTGCCTTTTTCCTCCTCCTCTGTTAAGCTGCCATCACCATCAGGGGGAACTTCGGGGAGAGTAAAGTGTAGCAAGATCCTTCCATAGACAAGATGGGTTTTATCCATGTCATTTTCCCCATAGTTCCAATGATTCAATGAGTTGGCCAGGTGTTTTTATTTTATTTATTTGAGACAGTTTTGCTCGTTTCCCAGGCTGGAGTGCAATGGAATCATGTCGTCTCACTGCAACCTCCGCCTCCCAGGTTTTCAAGCAATTCTCCCGCCTCAGCCTCCCGGGTAGCTGGGATTACAGGTGGCTGCCACCACCCCTAGCTAATTTTTGTATTTTTAGTAAAGATGAGGTTTCATCATGTTGTTCAGACTAGTTTCGAGCTCCTGACCTCAGGTGATCCACCCACCTTGGCCTCCCAAAGTGCTGGGATTACAGGCATGAGCCACTGCATCTGGCCCAGATGATTTTAGATTCAAAAGGTAACCATTTGTCTTTTATCACTATTCAGTCTTTCTATACAAATATATAGTTTAAAAATATGCTCAAACTTTTAAGAAATATATTCTGGTTATTCATATTACATCACAACAGAATGTACTAACATTAGAATAACATTTAAATTAAAATATCCTATTTGTGGGATCATTAAATAAATGTGTCAGGGCATCCAGGGATAAAATGTTCTCCTAGAGGTCTGTGTGCTCTTATTCTTTTTTAGCAGTTACAATTAATAGTAAAGATAAAATATGAGAAGTAGTCAATGAAGCTGCAGAAGGGCATTTCTCAAACCAAATGAACCTTGAACCTAAAAATAAAGGGACCTTAAAATAATGGTGGGTAAATGGAAGCCATATAAATCTAGCATAACAAAAATTTGAGGGTTGGCATTCCCGTAAAGCCTCAAAAACTTCATAAAGGATGGTTATTAAATCATGAAGAAGTCAACAGTATTCTAAAAAATGACTTTACACAGAAACGCTCTCGTGAGTGGCTGGGAAAGCCAAAGGAGAGCTCCCGAATGGCCTTGGGGCCTGTCTCCTGAGTCGAGACTGGCTGGAGAAGGACAACCTGGGGGACTGCTGCTGCCAGAAGGGAGGGGCGGGTGAGAATAAATGAGGCAAAGGCAATGTTCACCCCCATGGCTGGGTGTCTCCCCTAAATTAACTCTATGGATTTCGGAACTGTAATTTGGAAATAGCTATATATATCAATGCAAGGTAAAATTATAGTATTAGGATTTGACACGACAGCTCAATACCTATTAATACAGTAACTATCATGCTGAGTATATATTTGAAAGAAAAACAACCTTCTTACCTTTCACAGTACCACCATGGGCATGCTGAGGAGTGGAGAGTCTAATACCATTTATTCTACTATTCAATCTGTTGTCAGTTTTCTTAATCTTCTCCCTAAACCAAATGAACATATTGCCAACATTTTTATAAAGGTATCTACCAAACACATTCAGTACAGTACTGATAAAATTCCCTTCAAGACTTAAATTTTTTCATTAAGTAATAATCTAAATACAATTAAGAGTCACCCTTCTGTGTAAAGTTGTAAGAATTTTACCCCTTCAAACTGAATGCAGTATTTGACAGTAGCTTTATTTTTATCATCTGCATATATTAGTATTTTGAACCAAAAGAGTTAAACTCAGAATTAAAAATATTTTAAAAACTAACTAAAAAAACACTACATTGTATGCTACTATAAACTAAACATGCCGATTATCAAAGACTATGTGCTCTCTTTCCCTACCAATCTCTACTACTGGCAACATTACATTGAACCTACTTTTCTGTTTGTGGCTTTCCTTTCTTCTTATTTATTGAAGACAAACTCCGTTTTTCAGCAGAATGCTAGCAGAAAGAATAAAAAGACAAATCAGAAAAAAGCTAAACCATACTGATGTTTTTACTCTGATAGTAAACATTAATATGATATATTCCCAGTTGTATATTCTAACAAGTGTTGATTTCCAACCTATTTTTGAAGTTTCCCACTTGAACCACTAAAAAAAATTTATATATTCTGTGACAAATACATGAATATTTTCCTCATGATTTATACAGTATTATTTTCTGTTTTTCCTTTAAAACGAACCTACATTCTGTTTGACTATAAAATGAAACATAATCAACTGACTGGTACTTGCTGTAGGTTTACTACTATTCTCTTAAAACACAAACTGATAAAACTGTCAACACATAATTATGTCAACTCTAAGAAAAGAGGGTGCAGGCACTGAAGTAGGGAAAGTACACTCAGATAGGCTTTGAAAATAGGACATTAATTATTACTGAAACTATTTATGGTTTCTGAGAATATGCTCCAATGCATAAAAACACATTCCGAGAAGAGTTAACATTTGGATCTGAGTATTGGCCAGAGACAACATCGGGTTAACGAATCTATTTTCTAGAGAGAAGTTTCATTCCACACTTGTAACATATACATAGGGACCTTCCCCCATATCTCTGAGGCCATATGACACTAAACATACTTAAGAGCATTCTGCTCTCTGATCACACCCAAATCTTAAGAAAGCAAACATCCCCTAATGCATTCTCAGGTGTCAGTAAACTGATTCAACTATTCATGAAGAAAGGTCAGTTGGAAAATTTACATCACAAATAGCAAGAGAGTGATTGAAATGTGAATCCTTCTTTCAATTCTTTCAAGAGCAAAAAATTCTGGCATAACAATCTAACATACATCTTCTTAGAATAAACAGTGAAGGTATTATTTTTTAAATTTTTATTGCTTTAAATTTATTTTATTTTTTAGACAGGGTCTCACTCTTGCTCAGGGAGAAGTGAAGTGGTGTAATCATGGCTCACAGTAGCCTTGAACTCCTGGGCTCAGGTGATCCTTCTGCCTCAGCCTCCCAAGTAACTGAGACTACAGGTGTGCACCACCACACACTAAAAAATTTTTAAATTTTTTGAGAGAGACAGGGTCTCACTATGTTGCCCACGGTGGTCAAATGTGTGGCCTCAAGCAATCCTCCTATCTTGGTCTTCTAAAGTGCTAGGATTAGAAGTGACCCATGGTGCCTGGTGAGGTGTCCTATTAAAGTGTACTAATTTTACACAAGCAATAAAAGTAATCTAAATACACTTTCAGGTCTCAAAAGAACTTAGCTCATATATAAGTATAAAGCCTAATACTTAAACGTTCCTGCATTTCTTCTTACCAGATATACTGTCTGACTGAAAGCTCACAGAGCTTAATTTTTTTCTTATAGAGTAGCAATGCTTTAACTACACAGCTGCAAAACAAACTCCCCACATACCTGGTCAGCTGAGGTCACACAGTGCTCTGGGTGCTGAATGGCGGTACAGCTTTGCTTCCTCCAATCCACAATCCCATTCTGTTCAGGATATTGCATGGTAAGTCCATCCAAAGGAGAACAATTCGTACCAATCGTGCTGCCAAAAAAAAGTTTATAAAAGTGTGAAAATCTGTCCTCAATAATAAACTGCTATTTCATGTCAATAAAGAAGTTACAGTAAGCCTTTCTTTAGTTTCTTCATGGAATGCCTAGTGATAGGTCTAAGAAAAAACAAGTATATTATGAGAAATAAACCACTACACATCTATTTATCATTAATACCTATCTCTAAAAAGAGTTGTAACAGCTGTACCCTCTTTTAGATGCTATGTGATGGTGACCATTATACACGGCTGACAGTAGGGACAGAGAGGCTTACACAACCCTGCATCTTGAGAGCACTGCTGTCCTGAGTACTTAAGTAACTAGGCACATGAAGGGAGGGATAATGAGAACAAAAACGAAAAGAAACAGACAAGAGAAACAGGCCCAAACAGAATCCAGATAATAAACTTATTGGACACGGACAGACTTTCAGGTAACAATGCTTAACTTGGTCAGCAAATACAAGATTGAGGATTTTGGAAGAGAAATTTGGAAAACACAAAAAATTTAAATTCTAGAACTGTAAAATAAACTAACATTACAAACTCAACAAATGGGAAATAGATGGAAAAAATAGTGAAGGGGAAACAAATGAAGAAAATCAATGAAGAAGAAATTTGGTCAGAAGAAAACAGATTAAAGCACTGACAGCGAAAAAAATATGAAAAACAAAAAAGGCTTAAAAGACATGGGACATGATGAAAAACCTAACAAAGAAGGATTTGGCGTTTTGGAAGAGGAAGCAAGAGAAAAGCGGAGAATAAATATTTGAAGAGGTAAGAGCTAGGAGTTTTCTAAAATCAAAAGACATCAGGCTACAGATTCAAGGAGAATTCATGCAAAGGAAGCTAGGAAAACCACTGAAAACCAGACAATGACAAATCCTTAAAAAAGGCAACCAGAGAGAAATGCACATTGTCTTCAGAAGAGCAGTAGTAAGACTGACTGAAATTCTGGATGCCAAATGACCTAAGTGTGAGTTCCTCTCAAATGCAGAATCCAGTAACAGCGTTTATTTAAGAAGTGATCCTAAAAAGCAGGAGCAAGGGAGCGGAGAGAATAAAATGGCAAAGGACTGCAATGAAGACTCCACAGTGGAGGCTGGAAGCAACAGGGGACCCAAGCCTCTGGGCCCTCCCAGAACGACAGACCCAAAGGATGGAGGCAGCTTCCTGTGGATACAGCAAAGGTCCTGAGGCAGGAAGTGGAAAGTCTCACAGTGTGTACTCGAGGAGCAGAGCACTAGCGTGGTATGAGTCAGAAATCACACAGATGATTTTAATGTCATCTGCAGGAGAAACTGGAGGTGGGCAGAGAGAATAAGATGGAAGGAAATAAAGGGAGAACCTGGAAGATGAGGAAGCTATACTTTCAAAAAGCTCACGGAAAATAACTGCCCAATTAGAATCCCACATGTGACAAAAGTATCTTTCAAAAATGAAGGCGAAATAAACATTTTTTTCCAAATAAAAATTAAGGGCATTCATCACTGGAGACTGAGTATAGGAAATATGCAAGTGTGCTTCAATTGGAAGGAAAACAATCATAGGTGGATGTTCAGAGACACAGGAAGCAATCAGTATCTACACCAACACTGTGAAAAGGTTTCATGGGGCTTAAAATTATAACAGTGAATTAAAATGCATGACAGCCATGGCTTATAAGTTAGGGGGAAATAAATGAACTCACAGTAATCTAAGGTCTTCAAATTGTTTGGGAACAGTATAAGCACAAATTAACATCCAACTTTAACGAGTCAAAGATATATAATATACTCTCTAGGGTAACCACTGTAAGAATTTAAAAACATTGTAAAACTATCACGGCTAGTAGAAAAAAAACAAAACAAAAACAAAAAAACAGAACAAAAACAGCCCAAAAGGCGGCAAAAAAAGTGAGAAAAGGAAACAGAAAGAATAGAGAAATAGATAGCAAAATGACAGATTTATAGCCAAATACATCAGGAGTTTAATTAAATGTTACAACAATTTAAAAATGTACCAAGGCACTTTTTGTTTTTGAAACAGGACACCTACTTCACAATGGGACTTTTCCCAGTATGCTTCTTGTGGATTATGGCATGTTGTAATACATCTAGAAGAGAGGAAAAAGTAACTTATTACATGAAATGCTGCAGCAAAAACCAACAGAAGGATGCTACTAGTTTGCATGATAGTTTGCATGATCATAACCACTGGTGACAGCTGTATGAGGCACTTCTAAGCATTTCTCACTGTAGAAGTTATCTTGAAGCCTTTTCAAAAACACAGTATACTCTGAATTACCTTTTATATCCTCTCAAATGTTTTCCTCCTAACAGCAAATCAATCTTGTTCAAAACTAGGAAAGTCTAATATGAATATGTCCCTACAAAACGAAAGCATCCAATTTCAGATAGAACTCTTTTTTAACCATTAAAAAATGAAGAGTTTCAAACAGTCAAACACGTATCTATTACTAACAAACACGTATCTATAACAAACACCCATGGATACCACCTTCTAGACTTCTCTGTATTTCCCTCTAAGGAAAAATATCACACAGGTATGAATGAAGGTCTTCCTCCATTCCATTCCCCTTCATCCCTCCACAGAGGCTAACTAGTACCTTACTTGTTCAAACATTCTAGTACAAGTATTTACTTTAACTATCCATACATGTGTGCTAATAAACACATATAGGTATTACAGGCTTCAATATACAACTGTCCTTCAGTATTTGCATATAATCTATGCACACCTCCTGTGCACTTTAAATCATCTCTATATTACTAATAATACCTAATACAATGTAGATGCTATGTAAACAGTTGTTATGCTGTTTTGTTTAGAGAAAAACGACAAGAAAAAGAGTCCATAAATGTACAGATGCAATTTTCCCCCCAAATACTTTCAGAGATGGTTAAACCCAACAATGCAGAGATGGAGACCCAAATGTACTATAAATATCCTTTATTTTAATTACTACCTAGCACAAAGACATAATTTATTTAAACTTTACTAACATTTGAAATGTTCAGGCAATTTCCTGGTATTTGCCCTTGCAAACAATGCTGCCTCAAGGATCTGTGCCTATGTCCTCTTTTGCACGTGTGTAACAATTTTCACAGATGCAGGATTGCTGGACAGCAGCATATGATTATCTCCAACTTCATTTCACAGTGTCAAATTTCTGTCCAAAATAGTTGTGTCAATTTATGTCCCCATCAACAGTGCCTGAGAGTTCCCACTGCTTCATATCCTTGATGTCGGACTTCAAAACGTTTCGCCAATCTGCTGAGCGTGAGATGACACCTGTTTCCATTTGCATTTTCCTGACTACCAGTGAGGCTGCACACTGTGTAACAGCTGTCCACGTTTTCTCATGTAAGAATCACTTATTTATGTCTTTCACTTATATTTCTGTTGGGCTGATTGTCTCACCGACTTTTCACGAAGATCCTTCCATAGGTCTGGATATAGTCTCACCTATAAATATCCTGCAAACATCACCTCCGAGGTGTATGGTTCCTTTTGTCATATGGAAGCTCTAATTTAGATCAGTAAGATCTCTACTGTGGTCATGATCTACTTTGTTCAAAAAAGGCTTCTCCTCCCAAATTAACATTTGAAAGTTTAAATTTTACATTTTACATATAAGTTGTTACTCACTTGACTGTCTTCTGCATGATGTAATTAGGAATCTAATTCTACGTAATTTTTCCTATGGAAAGTCAATTGTCTAACAACATTTACCGAACAGTCTATTCTTTCTCCACTTATTTGTAATGCAACCTCTGTCACATTCCAATTCCTATATGTCAGTTTCTCCACTCCTTAATCTGTTCTATCCATGAGCTATCAGCAGGCAGGATGATTTACGCTAGTGAATCTACATTTACCTTCTTCTTGACTTGAAGCTTCAGAGCTGTCTTCTTTTAAGTGTTCTAATATCTTAGAAGTCTTCAGAGAGGATTGTAAGGTATCTGCAGGAAGTATTCAATACTATTAACTTTTTAGAAAAATTAAAATAAAGAAAACAAATATAATGATTGTTTTTTTTAACCCAAGGAAAACAAATGGAGGGTAAATGGTGAAGAAAATATGGCTACTAAGGAGAAGGCAAGAAGACACAGCCCAAAGCACTGGACTGTGAGTAGGAACCCTGATCAAGGAGCCAGCTGTACCCTGAAGAGCGAATGACCTAGGCGAGTCATTTCATATCTGTCAGCCCCAGTGTGCTCATGTGCAAAATGAGGAAATAAAGTAGAAAGATTCTTCTCAAACATCTGTGGTGTGGTAAAGATTTTTTATTTTTTTAATCTTTAGTTTGTTGTGGATTGTTACTTTTGTAAAATACAATAAAATAATGTTGTGGCAATGTCAAATTGCTAATCTCTCAGTGTCTGCCCTCAATTTCTGTTCTCATATTACAGACCAGTAAGAAGCAATTTATGGACCAGCACTGGCCCAGGCAACACATTTTGGATTACTTCCCCATAAAATACAGGCCAGAACTCCAGAGTTCAACATCTTAACTCATTCATGACTTTAGCATTGTTTTTTTTCAGTGCCAGTTGTCAGGATATGAAGTGATGCTCTCTGTCCCAGGGAATAAAAAGGTAAAGCTACCAACTTTTCAAAAAATAAAATAAAAACAAAGCAAAACCCAACAGCGTATGCAAATAAACCTTCACAACAGTATATTCACTGGTGAAACAACTCAGATATGCATGAACATTAGGCTGACAAGATATCCCACAATCTCAAGTGCTGTACTTTCATACAGTTTTAATTTTACAATCTGGTAGATTTTACAACAAAATCTACCAACCTCATTAGCACTGCTCATGTAATTTAAATGCTGCCACGCCCTCAAGATGAGTTTATTATTTATATATGTACTCCTCAATTGGGTGAGTTTTCCTGAGCAGCCTGTTCATCTAAACTAAAAGTTTAATTTTGTGCTTCAATTCAATGCCTTTTTGAAATGAAACAGATGTTACTGATACATGTTCAATAAAAGGCACTTACATTTGGCTCAGAGAGAAAATCACTGATGGTTGAATCTACATAGCTCCAGAATGATCAGGATTCTCTTTAATAAATGCTGTTGCTACCATTCGGACATAAATTTAACCATGAAGTTGTGCATCTTGTCTTGGTTAACTAGTCATAAAGAGTCACATTTTTAATTCTGACTGATAATTACGTTAGCATGTAACACACTAAATTAGAGAAACTTTCAAGGTTAGCCTGTGTAACAGGCAATCATACTATTCTTTCACCTCTTTCTCCCACCTCAAATTGAGAAAATACGTGTTTTTCTTTCCCCTTTAAATACAGGAAAATATGACTGCTGAAAGCAGGACAGTTTTAAAGAAAAATGTTCCTTGCCATAGTAGCTACGCCTGGAGTTTAGCACAAATTCTGCTAAAGGACACACCAATGTTCCTGACAAAATATTTGTAAAAGGCAGGCTGAGGGAGACATGTCCAAAATTAAAAGACAGACAGTGGTGAAAGCTGAAGCACGAGGACAAAATTCAACATACAGAACGTAAGAAAAACTCGCAAAGCTTCATGGAAGAGGTGATGTTTCAGCTGGGCCTTAAAACAGGCGTGATTTTAATGGGCTATGACAAAAGGATGGGTGTTTAAGTAAGGGTACAAACGCGCAAAGACACCAGGCAGGCAACGGCAGGGTGTGCTGGGAGACAGGGCACAGGGAGCAGAAGGAAGCTCCCGGGAGGTCACAGTGGGGCCTGAATTTCAGACCAAGCAGGAATTTAACACACTTATCCTTGGGATACTCCAGGGATAGATTAGAGTAGGGAACTAGAATCGGAGAAAAGAGTAAGGGTTTCCTTTGATAGTCCCTGCATGAAAGAAAGGCCTAACTGTAAACGAGGGGAGGGTAAGGAAGGGACATAAAGGGAGACATTCTTTGTGTAGCATAGGTTGTCCTTTCCGTGACTGAAAACAGAGAGGCAGAGTGAGAAGAATAAGGCTAATGTTTTCTGCCTGATCAGCTGGCTGGAAAGGTCAATTGGGAACAGGTGAGAAGAGGAAGGCAGACAAGATCATACACCAGCACGAGGCGCTGTAAGGTCTCCAGCCAGTGAGGGAACAGTTCTGTCAAAGAAATGAAGGACTAGCCACACCCCAAAGTCTAGAGAGACTCAGACCTTACCTTGGAATCAGTCTGCTCTATTAGCTTTTATACATGACTTTGTTTACAACTGCCATGTAAAATTCATTAAAAATGACAAATAATTGTATGTCACTATTCTTTAATCTTAACTAAAATGACAAACCTACACAAAATGACATGGTAAAGCAATAAAATCCAACAAAGAAAAAATATTTCCACAGAAGGACAGAGGATGCTTACTGAGACTGTGTAGGGAGTCTGACGATATGGACTGAAAGAAGCTGTGTACTTTCTGACTCTGTAGAAAAGCTTGCGATGAACTTGAAAATAGCTGCCTGTATATAAAAAGAAAAGAGATTTGTTAATTTCAAATAATATAAATCCACAAGAAGCTCGGTTTCAATTACAAGGCAGACTTAAGTGGCAATTTAATTCAGGTATGGGAAAATATTCTTCCCATAGAAAAGAATATTATTTTCTAATGTATTTCCTATAGGAAGAAGTCAGTAAAATTTAATAAAACTCATTTGGAAGAAGCAACTAAATAGATCCATTTTTAATTTTGTATAATCTAATGGTAAGATTTCGATTCTGGCCCAAAAATGTATTATTTCAGCCTCTGTCCAAGTGGTCCAACAGCCACCCTTCTGTTAAAAAAAACAAAAAAAAAAAACTGCAATTTCTTTACTCTTCTTCACAGGTGTTCTTCTCCTTATTTGGCTGCACTTCTATTTTTTATTTTTTTGAGATAGAGTTTTGCTCCTATTGCCCAGGCTAGAGTGCAGTGGCTCGATCTCAGTTCACTGCAACCTTGGCCTCCCTGGGTTCAGGCGATTTCTCCTGTCTCAGCCTCTTGAGTAGCTAGGATTACAGGCATGCGCCACCATACCTAGCTAATTTTATATTTTTTTACTAGAGGTGGGGTTTCACCATGTCGGTCAGGCTAGTGTCTCCTGACCTCAGGTGAGCCGCCCATCTCGGCCTCCCAAAGTGCTGGGATTACAGGCATGAGCCATTCCACCCAGCCTTCGTCTGTACTATTAAAGGACCTTTCCACACTCTCAAAGTGGGAGGTTGGGAAGTCTGGGATGCTAAGTGCCTTGGAAAATATGAAACAGTCAGTTATGTAGTTATCATATATCATACATGTATTACTACAACCTAAGGCACCGCTGACTAATGATTCATGTTGAATGTGTACCATGCCATGAGTCCAAGTTATCTCTGAAACCCAGCTTTCCCCATATTTTATTAATGTGATTAAAAGACTCCAGCTGGAGGTCTTTCTTACAGTGGTACCTGTAAAAGGGCACATACAATTAGAGCAGAATCTACTAGGAAGTTTACTTTCGATTTGAATACCAGTTCAACCACTTATAAGCTAAAGCACCCTAAACAAGCTAGTTAGCCTTTCACCTTCCAATTTCTCAAGGTTACGAGAATCAAACAGTGCACGTAAACTGTCACCCTACCCATTACTTAGACCCTCAACATACAAATTATTTTGAACACTTTTGATGCTCATTTTAAATTTTAATTCTTAATTTCTCCCCTCAAAGGATCATTAACATACCAACAGATGACTCTTATGGGCCAAAGCTGCCTTGTATATTATGTGAAATTGCTTCTTGGTATTCCAGTGTGGAAGTAAACAATCAGTAAGAAGACATGGGTGAAATGAAGAGAGGAAAGAACTGAGATCTGAATTCAGAAGCAAATCTGGATTTCCAGGTCTGAACATATTACACAACGCTGACACTAAAATCCAAAGGCAGTGGTGGAACCCACACTCAGTCACATTAGAAACCAATTGGTCAAAAGCACAGGCACACCTTCAACTCAAGGCCTGAGTCCCAAGGGACAGCCCAGATATAACTCCAAATACTATGTAGACATCCACTATGGGAACACTGAGTATTACATTTAAACCACAAATCAGATAAAGGTAGGGGAACTAAATCAGTATACAAACTAAAGTCAAGGCTCATTAATGAATAACTACAAGATGGCAATTATACCGATATTAAAAAATCAAAGTGGCCACAAACTACTTGATAACTAAGAAAAACAAGATTACATTTTGACATGATAGAAATCTTCCAACCACAAATGCACATTTCATGCCGTATTTTCATTTTCCTAACCTACAGCATATTTGGGACTAAATACAGTGTGTCCTGTACCAACCAATCTGTTATAACTTATAAACCTACCTCCTATTTCTGTTTCCTTTCTTCCCTTTTTTATAATTGCTACACTTCTGAGACACAAATAATGACCTACTAATTTAAAATCCACAAACTGAGAAGGAAGAGTCCTGACATGGTGTTGAGGCTACAGGCTAGCCATTTGGGAAAAGATACGAATCCCTACCACACTCCTTACATCAAAATCAATTACAAATGAATCCGAGATTTTTTCTTAAAGGAAGTATTAGAAGAAAACATACTTTAAAAAATATTTTTTGAAACATATTTCAAATATGTTTTGAAAAGGTCTTTCTAGGCCTGACACAAAACCCTGAAACCACAAGAGAAAAGATCAATAAATTTGGCTACATAAAAGTTTAAAACACCTGTATGGTCAAGAAGTAATCGCAAGTAGGGCTCTTTCCTTTATTGAACAACTAACTCTTCTAATCAGTGACACCAATAATGCGTAGAAAGGACTGAAAAGGCCATTCACAGGGAGGCGGCTAAAGCCACTCAAACACAAACTGAAATCAGACTTTCTTTCTGAGATAAGCAAAGAAGAGCAATTGCGAACGTTTTGTGTCTGCTTAGGTGGGAGATACAAGTATGAGGCGTCAGAGGATATAAAGTGCTGCTACCTTTTTAGAGATAATTTGAAAATATTACATATTAAAAATACATGTAACTTTTGACCAATTACAATATTTCTGTAAACTGATCTTACAGATAAATATGTACCCATATGTGTTAAGAATATATACCTCCTGGAGCAATTGTTTGAGCCTAGGAGTTTGAGACAAGCTTGGGCAACAGAGCGAGGTCATGTCTCAAAAAAAAAATTAATAAAAATAAAAAGTAAAAAATTAAATCATATACCTGGACATTGTAGTTTAAAAATACTTAGAAACAACTAAAATGGACATAAAATATGTTGATTAATTTAATTATGGTTCAGCTAAAAAGGAATCAAAGCAGCCATCTTTTTACATATAAGATGTGTTACCACATCCCAATACATTTAAAGAAGTGGCAGGAAAGTATTAATACATATAAAATACTTCCATTTGGACAGTAAAGGAAATATATATACATAAATCTAAGGGCATGTACATGCACAGAAAATTTTGGAAAAGTTAGGCTACTTTAACTGCTAAATTTGGAGAATGGGAAATTGGGAAATTTTCACAGTACACACCTCTGCATTCTTCACAATTAGCTTTAATAACATCTTTACAGTAAAAACGTTTAGAAAACACACAGATACAGACACGCACAAGAGGCCAAGTATGATCACTGCTGAAGAGAATCCTAAAAGCCTTAAGAAGCAGTCACCCATACACTTTTTTTTTCTTTTGAGATGAAGTCTTGCTCTCATCGCCCAGGCTGGAGTGCAATCGCACGATCTCAGTTCACTGCAACCTCCGCCTCCTGGGCTCAAGCGATTCTCCTGCCTTCGACTTCCGAGTAGCCGGGATTACAGGTGCCTGACACCACACCTGTCTAATTTTTGTATTTTTAGTAGAGTCAGGGTTTCCCCATGTTGGCTAGGCTGGTCTCGAACTCCTGACCTCAGGTGATTCACCCCCGTTGGCCTCACAAGGTGCTGGGATTACAGGCGTGAGACACTGAACCTGCCTTTTTTTTTTAAAAAAAAAAAAAAAAAAAAAAAAAAAAAGAGATACTCTGTTGCCCAGGCTGGAGTTCAGTAGTGCAATCACAGCTCACTTCAGCCTCAAGCTCTCGGGCTCAAGTGATCCTCCTACTGTGGCCTCTGAAGTAGCTGGGCCTACAGGTATACACCACTACATCTGGCTAATTTTTAAAATTTTTGTTGTGGAGATGGGGTTTCACATTGCCCAGGCTGCTGTCCTTAAGCAATCCTCCTGTCTTGGCTTCCCAAAGTGCTGTGACTATATGCATGAAACACTGTGCCCAGCCACTTACTTTTTAACTGGGGTCTTAGCTGAGAGCTATTTTTTGAAAATGGCTCCTTCTGGAAATAGTTAATTTTTTCCTTCTGAAAATCTCAAACTTATAAATACAGTACAAAGAATTTTTTCCTAAAACATAAATACCTGATGTAATGGCCAACTCCTGGGAAGATATCAGTATTTCCTACGATCTCCTACCATCAGTATCAGGAGATTAAGACTAACCAATTTTTATCTTCTATTCCTCAGATCCCATTTAAGTTTTGCCAATTGACCCCAAAATGTCCTTTTCATATCAAAGCTCCAGTTCAGCATCTGGCACCACACTCCACTGTCACACCTAAGAGGACAGGCCAGGTATACTGTGGAATGCTTTCCATGGAGGTTTGTCTGGGGCTTTCCTGCAATTAGATTCCTGGCAAGAACAAAGGAGTGGGGCTGTGTGCTTCTGCTGCAGCCTGTCTCCTGGAGGAGATGGAGATGCTGACTGCCCACCATGGATACATTCACTTCAGCTGATTACAATGGCGCATCTCAAGGCTTCTCCACTCTAAAGTTACTGTACTTTCTCCCGTTATGTTTCTCCATTATTCTGGTAAAGGACTTTGAAGCTAAAGGTAAATATCCTATTCCTCAAACATTCAATGTATTCACTTATTTATTTCAACATGGACTGACAGTTTCCTGTTTTATGCAATGTACTGTTATTTGTCCTGATGTTTTATTTACCCCAGATTTAACCACTGAAGCCCCGTCAAGCTGGCTCCGTGACCTTCCGACAAAAGTGCATCATTCTTTGAGGACACCAGGTTTTCTGGCACACAGGCTCATCTTGTACTTTTCCTGCCCCAGCCCTGAAATCAGCTTTTCAAAACTTCAAGAAGCTCTAGTTCCTTTTAGTGGAGAATCACATACAGAAGTGAGGATCTGGGCACAGGTATGCCCCTGCTACTGGGATGTTGCTACTTCCAGACCCTTTCAATGAATAGAGCTAGGAAACGTGTATTACACATATGCACCCATATCCATTTCTATATCTGCATATACTGGATATCATGAATTCATACCGACGACTTCAATTCCAATCAGACACTCTAAGGATTAGGGTTCAAGCTGGTTTTGTTGTTTTTCATAGGATAACTCCCTTTTCCAAAAGAAGGAAACCTGTTTCTCACTGTCCTGAATATATTTACGTAGCTGTTCCAATCCCCTGTAGCAAGCTCTCTCCTCTGTGGCTGCTACTCCCTTTCAAACCCTGGACAGGTGCCCACCTAGGCTTCAACGGCCAGTTGGGCCATCACTCCACACATCTGGCTTCTCCGCCCTTTGAGCTCTGTGACACGGGCCAGGCCTCCTACCACCATCGCCCAAGAGGAAATACCTTCCTCACCCCATACAGGTCCCCTTCTCCAGTCCATCAGGGCACATCCTCCCATCCTGATGCTGATGTCTACCTTGCTTTGCCTCACTGAGTGGCTTTACAACATAACTGGTCAGAAGGGACAGGGAAAAAAACAAGGAGCCAGCAATGACTTTTGAAACATGACAGTCATACAAAGAATGCAGTCAATGGTATTACTAAGCCTTGAACCACATAGTTCAGCGTTATCTCCTAGAATACACAGGCATCAAGGTTTTTTTTAAGACAGGGTCTGGCTCTGTCATTCAGTATGGAGCGTAGTGTCACTATCACAGTTCTCTGCAGCCTCAAACTCCTGGGCTCAAGTGAGCCTCTGGTCTCAGCCTCCCGAGTAGCTGGACCTACAGATGCCACACACCTGGTTAATTTTTAAGAATTCTGTAGAGACAAAGTCTCATTATGATACCCAGGCTGGTCTAAACTTCTGGCCTCAAATGATCTTCCAGCCTCAGTCTCCCAAAGTGCTGGGATTATGGGCATGAGCTACCGCGGCCGGCCCTCTCCCTTTCTCTAAACCTTTCCCCGTTCCCTCTGAGATTCCGCAAATATACCAGACTCTGTGCATGCAGCCTGTTTCTCCCTATTTCTAACACAATCTGGCCAGCCCTTGGGCTCCAGCTGTGCTCACCGCCACTCAGGTGGAAGGTGCTCCTCTCCCCTCAGCCTCCTGGCATGTATGCACCTGCACTCCCTTGACCCTGCCACTCATCCGCTCTGAGTCAACTGGACCTGGTCTATGTCACCCACCAACCTTAGGTCACTTTTCCATGCTTAAATTCAGTTTTGGTCCTGGCCTTACTGTCTCTTCCACTCCAAATCTTCTGTCATGCTGGGGGCCTACATGGCCACATGGGTGTCTGCAGGGGCGCCCCAACTGACACATGGCCACATGGGTGTCTGCAGGGCGCCCCAACCGACACATGACCACTGGGTGTCTGCAGGGGTGCCCCAACTGACACAGGACCACTGGGTGTCTGCAGGGGTGCCCCAACTGACACTAGGCTCTTTGTTTGGCTGCCTTTTCCCCAGTGACTTCCTCCAATTCCTGTCTTGCATTTTATTCCCACTGTCACACCCTGGATCTTGTCGTACAATGAAAATACTCTCCCCCTCCCAGATTTCTGCTTGTCTCCGCTGGGCAGCAAACACTCATCCCCTTCTTTTCAGCCCCACCCTTCTTTTCATCCCGAGAATACTCACTGGTCCCTATTTCCTACTCAGGATGGGGGCTGTAGCAGTCAATGACACATACCTCTGCTCTCCCTCGGGAAATCGGCTTCCCAAACTGGGCCACCCCAGGTTTAGAAGGCAGATGACAGGCTGTCTTACTTAAGCCCTGACCCCAAGTACTATAGGCTCCAGCACTGCTTTTATATAATGTACTTATTAATAACTGCAAGTTTCCAGTAAAACAGCATGTTTCCTTGGCCATTATTCCTGAATTTATCTCCCTTCTACAGGGAAGCTCTCAGAGAGATGAGTGCGACAACTGCCAAAACCATACGCTAACCTCCACTGTCGCCTCCAGATCCGCTCACCCAGATGCCTCCGCTCCCATTCCAACCAGATTCCAGCTGCTTAATTACCCGATTACTCCCATGGCCCCTGCTTTCCAAGCACAGTTCATTCCCCTCTATCAGACTCACCTATTTTCACTTCCTAGTCCAGCTTAGATCTAATACCTGTCCATCATTTGTTAAAAACGGAACATTTTCCCCCAAATTCCCTTGTTTCATTGTCTTCTTGTCACATCCAAGAAAGCCCCATCCAGGACAAACACAACCTGACACTTGGACCTGAGGTGCCGGGAAAGAGTTAAAAAATAATTCACACAACAGGACAGACCAATACCACAGTAGTTTATTGATCTTTAATCTCAAATGGACTCCACACCTTGCCCAGCTCACTTTCATCAGGGTGTTCTCCAGATCTCCACACAACCATTTTACATCCCCTCTACTCTCAAGCATGTGATCTCACACCCTTAATCTACCCATTCTTAAGCAAACCTCTTAAGAGAAAATATGAGCCATTAATTGGGCAAAAGATGCCTCAACTTCCCATTACGAAACAAATACATTTCCCTACATCCACACTCATCGCGCTTCCACAGGGCCCTTGTGCCACCAGTGACATGCCTTGCCTGTGTCTTCAATTTTTTCCTCTATGAGCACATGGGAGGCTCCAAGAATTAATCTAAGATCATCTTACCTACACCAGTCTTTTCCAACAGCCCATCAACCTCATGAAGGCAAAACCTTGACCTCTGACAGGACCATGGCTCCAAGAGAGCAATGGCCATGAAGCGCAGGTACTGGGAAGCAGGGCTGCCCTTCACTCTCCCACCCACCAGCCCAGGCACTTGACAACTTTAAACAAACAAAACATCTCACCAAAGTGGAGCTCTTGGACATAGGCCTCTTTCAATAAGTATTTTATGAAAAATATAAGAGGCTTTATTCAATGTCTGCATATTTCAGAAATAACTAAATTTTATGATAGCAGAGAACTGAAGAGTACAATGATGAAACTAGTTTGGTATCTTTTACTATGAGCCTAAGATCAAAATAGCACAAGGATAACATGTCCATTTTATAAAGTACACCAGAGAAAGAATCTCTATGATCCTCCACCTGAAGACCCCATTTGGAGCAGCCCTTTATCCTGTCTGTACACTGTATCCTGCTGTGACAGGCGTCGGGTAAATCATTACCTTAGGATGGGCTCCAGGTCAGGATGTCGCCGTTCTTCCCTTTTCAAGGAACCCTGATTCAGGGCTCTTAAGATGGTCTTGTCAAAAGTCTCCGAAGACAGTTCCTTTGGAAGCTAGAAAAGAAAAACCACATTATCCAATGTTAAGTTTCTCACTTACTAGTAAATATGTTACAAGTCAGATGCATAAAATGAAGATTAATGCCTCCTGCTTATTATTTTCTCAAAAGTAGTTTGTTTTCCAAATCTTCACAACACCTGACCCCATACTGAAGCAGCATAGACCTTTCCTACTAGGAAATGCACCATCTTCTCATCATGGCTCCTGATCAGCTCCTGATCACCTCAGGGCTCCCCAAGGTGCAGGGCGACCCACAGCATTCAACACATTCCTGCAGCTCGAGGACGCCTGCATGGACCTCACACTCTGGCTCCACACACCACAATGACGCCCATACTAAGGCTCTTGAGTTAAGCTGAAGATGCTGTTCTGCATAGCTAGAACTATTTTTACCCTGGAATAGTATTCCAGGGAGTGTTACCTCTGCCTTTGTACTTATCACTCTGAGCCTCCTGTTCTACGTTTTACTTTCTGGCAACGTCAGACCAGCAGGGCAATGCAGCAAATAAAGAACAAAATATGAGAGACAGGTGAGAACCCTCAATATTACTCATTTATATAAAAAGCACACACTGGAAGTGCCTCAAGTGATTGAGGTGCCCTCAGAGCAATGTGCTAGAAACCATAAAAAAAAAAAAAAAAAAAAAAAAAAAAAAAACCACTTGGCCAAGAAAAGTTTTAAATTTAAAACAAAATATAACCAGTTTACTTTTAAAAATTCCTGAACTGATTATTCATAAACCAACTTTCCAAGTCTTTGAAGGATTCAGTTTTAACTAATCTGTGCTGTTACTGGCACATTCACTAAAATTCAGAGTAGAACCATTAAGAGCATCTGAGAAGCCACAGAAATAAAAAATCTACACAAATGATTGACTTACATATTGAGCTTTGAGAAGACCAAAGCAAATTTTCTTTTGAAAAGTAAGTATTTTCAAGCTGGGCACGGTGGCTCACGCCTGTAATCCCAGCACTTTGGGAGGCCGAGACAGGTGGATCATGAGGTCAGGAGTGTGAGACCAGCCTGACCAACACAGCAAAACCCCGTCTCTACTACAAATATAAAAATAAGCTGGGTGTGGTGGTGTGCACCTATAATCCTAGCTACTCAGAAGGCTGAGGCAGAAAAATGGCTTGAACCCGGGAGGCAGAGGCTGCAATGAGCCGAGATTGTGCCATTCAACTCCAGCCTTGGCGACAGAGAGAGACTACACAAAAAAAAAAAAGAGAGAGAGAAAAAAGAAAAGTCAGTCTTTTGAGTCAATTCAGAAATGAGCAATTTAGCAAAAGCAACATAAAGCACTCCTCACTGTGGACACAGCAGATGGCAGGATCAAGATGCTCTGTCAGAATGAAGTCCCTTCTGGTCAGATGAAAGGCTCTGTCAGCATTCTACACATTCACTGTGGAAATCATGCCCTCTGACCAGCAATGGGAGAAACGAGGTCTGAATCTACCCATTTTCTTTCCTTTTCTTTTTTCTGAATAGTGAAGAGTTTTGCTCTGTCACTCAGGGTGGAGTGCAGTGGTGTGGTCTCAGCTCAGTGCAACCTCTGCCTCCTGGGTTTGTGTGATTCTGCCTCAGCCTCCAGAGTAGCTGGGAGGAGCACGCCACCATGCCTGGCTAGTTTTTTTGTATTTTTAGTAGAGAACAGGGTTTCACCATGTTGGTTAGGCTGATCTTGAACTCCTGACTTCAGGTGATCTGCCAGCCTTGGCCTCCCAAAATGCTGGGATTACAGGCGTGAGCCACTACACCTGGCTTTATTTTCCAAAGAAATTACTCATTTCAATATTTATATTTTGATATTAGCATTTTAATAGACTTACAACACCACACATATATCATATTACCCATTTTAAACACAATTTATACGGAATATCTGTGAAGAAAACCTGTGTCAGTGAAGAACTCTATTTCAACCGCCAAACCCCTGATGGTTCTACTCACTACGGAAAGCAACAGTATATAAATATTCACAATTCAGTGACATTGTTCATGTTCCTGGGCAGACTGCAGATATATAGTCATCAGTATGTGCAAACTGATTTATTTTCAAGTGGTTTTTATCTTCAATTTCCAGGGCCTATTTGCAGTCCTAAAGAAAGGCTCATTCGCTAAAAATATATATATATAGCTTTAAATCATGTCTTTTATATTCTAGTCACATGTTTCAAATTTTCTCACCTTTCAATCCTAGTTCTAGCACACCCAGCCTCCTACCTCGAGCTCCAGCTCAGTTTCAGAACAAGCTCAGAGGAATGAAAGATTTTCGTATCGAGCTATTACAAAAGTTGCTCTCTATATACGCTGAGACCAACTGAGAATGTAATGTTGGTGGCAAACCTCGTTCATTCATTCATTCAGCAAGCTTTTAAATTCCTACTGTGCCCCAGGCACTGTTTCAGGAACCCTCAATACTGCAGTGAAGGAAGAAACAAAAACCCTGGCTGCAGAGAATAGACATTCTGATCATGAGAAATGCCATCTGTAATTGCTAAGAAGAAAAACAAAACAGGGAGCCAGGCATGATGGCTCATGCCTATAATCCCAGCACATTGGGAGGTGCCAAGGTGGGTGGATTGATTGAGCTCAGGAGTTCAAGACCAGCCTAGGCAAAACTCTGTCTCTACTAAAAATACAAAAATTAGCTGGGTATGGTGGTACACACCTGTAATCCCAGCTACCTAGGAGGCTAAGGCATGAGAACAACTTGAACCGGCGAGTCACTACACTCCAGCCTGGGCGACAGAGCAAGACTCTGTCTCAAAAGAAAAGACAAACCCCACAAAAACAGCCAAAGAGGGCCAGAATGTAGAGGACAGAGGCTGCTATCTGTATGGGAAAAAAGGACTTGAAATACTGACCTCCAACTCACATCTCCACACTACAGCAAGCTAGAAGTACAGGTCAATAGAGTCTACTGAGGAAAAAGGGTATTCATATGTACACATTGTCAAAAGGACACATTTCGCTCCTGAACTTTTTTTTGAGACTGAGTCTTGCTCTTGTCACCCAGGCTGGAGTGCAACGGCGCGATCTCAGTTCAAGTGGTTCTCCTGCCTCAGCCTCCTGAGTAGCTGGGGTTACAGGCGCTTGCCACCACACCCGGCTAATTTTTAGTAGAAACAGGGTTTCACCATGTTGGTCAGGCTGGTCTTGAACTCCTGTCCTCAGGTGATCCACCTGCCTCAGCCTCCCAGAGTGCTGGGATTATGGGCGTGAGCCACTGTGCCTGGCTGCTCCTGAACTTTTGTAGTTGGTGTTAAAAGGAAAGTAAAAGGGAAAAAAGGATATGGTAAACTTAGAAGGGTATCACACAATATGCAGTACATTTCCAGAAGTACACAACATTGCAGATTATTTCATGTCATTGAGAGGCATTTATACTATTTGTGAAAAATATTATATTCAAATACTGGCTAAGCAGGGGATTCATTAATTGCTATGATTCTGAAGAGTGAATTACTTATTTGGAGTTGTATTTATTTTAAAGCACCTAAGCTTTTAGAAAAAAATGGGTGACTGAAGAAACGAAATCTGTCAAGGCACAAACAGTTGAAGCTTCTGGAGGGCAAGCTAGTAGAAAAGGTAGACTCCACACACTAGGCCCCAGTTGCAGGTCAGCTTCGTGCTCTCTCAGCATGAGGGACAGGGAAACAGGACCCTGCACGCACACTGGCACCAAGTCACTCAGTCTGGACCCCGCATTTCAAGGCTTTTTGGCTTCAGCTCTGCACTCCTGCAACTCCTCCACAATTCTGTTGTGGGAAGGACAGCAGAACAAAGAAGGGAAATGAAAACAGGCTGCTCCCTTAACCCAAATGAAGCCTGTTTGTGATCACCTGTCTAAATTTTGATAAACTTATTCTACTAAAAGTCAGAATTTATTAGGGACTGTAAAAGTGTGCGGAGGTGGCATAGGGCAGCCCTGCTTAGCCTCCACTGTACCTAGAACGCCATCCAGGCACTCATTTTCTCCAATGGGGTGCACTGCCTGGCAGATGGAGCCTGCCCGGGCCCGAGCCCCTGTTCCTTGCCACCCTCATGACTGTTACAGAAGCTCACAGACCCATGCCATTTCCCTCATCAAGCTGTCCAGAGCTGACATGTTGCAGACAGTGGCCTCTGGCATCTGGAAATGAGTAAAACTCATCCCCCACCTTTACCAAAGGCAGGTCACTAATGAGTGGGAGGAGTCCTCAGCCCTTAACTGAGAGAGCCTACTTTATAGCAAACCACAAGCAAATGGAACTGTTCAAGTTATCCCTGGTGCTACTTCATTCAGAGAGACTAACAAGAAATCCAGTGGAGTTAACTCTTCAACAGTCTTCCTCAAAGAACCAGCATCTAGTGTGGTGTTCAAGGCTCTACAAAGTGATGAATAAAATAGTCTCTCATAGGTTTAAGAATGACCTGAAAAGAATATACTCACAGTGACAAGCAGACAACCTAAAACCAGCACTAGCCTCAAAATTTCTTATATGTTTAATAACTACACTTAGACCCAAAACTTAGTAACTGAGTTGGGAATGAGTTGTTTCTAAACTTTCTGCTTTATCTCCCTACTAACAATAAATTTAAAAACATTTGCTCATTGAGAATAATTTATCAATCATTTATACCTATTCTCTCTTTTTGATATTTATTTCTACCTATTCACACTTTTCAACAAAATCAGATTAACATAAAAGAAACAGGTGATGGTTTGAACCAAATGATCTAAGATACCTCTCACCTCTGGCAGGTCTGTATAAGATATTTCTATTACCTTCTTATTACCGGTAGTTTGGAGATTCTATCATATGGGGGATAAGGTGGGCAGGAGCTGGAACTCAAAGAAGGAAGAAATGGAGATTCAGGGAAGTATACAGCTGAACAGTTGTGAAGTCTGAGAACTCCCACCAAGCGGAAGCAAGCCTTATTTGGTTAGGCAGACGCATTCTCTACTAAGAAGTCCCTTTGCAAACAGCCACAAATGATGCACACCTCTGCTGGGAACTAGGAATCGGGTTCCTTTCTTTTTTCTCAAATAGATATAGGGTGTCACTATGTTGCCCAGGCTGGTCTTGAACTCCTGACCTTAAACAATCCTCCCTCCTCAGCCTCCCAAAGTGCTGCGATCACAGGTGCGTGCCACCACACCTGGCCTCCATTTTTTTCTTTTAAATGTAGAAATTCCTTCATCATTTTTTTTATGTTGGAATGTCAGGTAAGAAAACATGTTTAGAATAGCATGACATTTTCCACAGCTAATGTTCATTTAGAGTTCTGAGCCAACATTTATCTCTATGTTTTAATTTTCCTGGTGTTTTTTTGATGTTGAGGTTTCTGGATTCTGTATATTATATAAAAATCATTTTAACAACAAAATCTATACTTTTACCTTCAGTAGAAATTCCTGTAGTTCTTGGTGGGTTTTTGTTACTGTTGTGACTGAAAGATCAGACCAATTTACCTGATTTAAAAAAAACACACATGTTATATGGTTATTCCTTACGCAGGAACCGGCTAGAAAAAGCCATGTGCAAAAACAAAGGGCCTTACTTAAATTTTACTAAGATTAACAATTAGAAATATGAAGTTAATCTGGCATTGTCATAATTTCAAAATTAGTAAAATTATCTGCACATTGACATATGCTACTCAAAAAAGTTCTAATAACTCTTTCAAAATGGCACTTTTTAAAAGCTATCTGAAAATGTGACTATGTTTAGTAATTTTTCAGAAAAGGGATATACGTTATTTTCTATGAACTTATAGAACTCTAAAATGACAGTTTGACAGTACAGATCTTTGCCATTCAAAAGATAAAAATTCTATGTCCTGAAACTTATTAAATATACACCCTTAAGAGAAATAACTAGAGTTTATTGCCTTCTTTGGTAGTACCATGTTGTATTTTTATGGAATTTATGATTAATGAAGAGATTTCATCTTTATCTCAATCTTTAAAATTCTATTAAGACGCTATGACTACTTCCATTTTGAGATGCAGAAACTTAAGTTCAAACAGGTTAGCTTACTGAGGTGTGATCCTAAGTAAGGGCAAGAGTCAGAACTGACATCCATTGTGCTACCCCACCCGCTACCTCCTCGATGCTTTTTATCCAGCGGACTCAATTGTAGCCCCCTAATAATTTCTACCCTAGAACTATTTGAGCTAAATAAATATTTGCACTATGTTACTATCTAGACCTTACCAACTTATAAATAATCAGATACTTAAAAACACATATAACATTTTATCTACAACTTTAAAATTAATATCTTTATTAACTGGCACATTTCTTAAGTGATTTTTAAGTATTCAAATGCTTGCTGAGCAGCTGCTTGAACAGGGCACTGTTCTGACTCTTCTTTCAAGAGACGCAGAAATGGACAAGGCAGTTAAGTCTCTGCTGACTGAGTTCACAGGCTAGTGCAGGAGATAGATCAAAGCAAGAGAATATGTAAGAATTTCCATCAGTGATCAGTACTTTGAAGAAAACACACAGGGCATGGTACAAGAACGGGTAGATGCACATGAGCTGGGGTGTCAAGAAGGATCTCTGAGGAGGGAGCTTTAGAGCCAAAGTGGCCTGTTCTTGGTCTAGAGGGATAGGGGAAGGGCATTTCAGGTGAGAGGACAGTAGAGCCTTCAGGAAGGCAGGCTGTGAGCTCTAACAGCAAAAGGGGCCAGCCTGACGGAGCATGGAGAGCAAAGAGTGAGATGCATGCCACAATAAGACACCAGGAGATAAGGGCTAAAATCCTGCAAACTGAGGATCTTTCCCCTCAAAGCAAAGCTGAAGTTCTGAATTCATTCAACGAGCAAGTCAGACATGGTGGGATGGTTGAGGATTGAGGACGAAGATTCCTGCTCTCCATGAGAATATCTACTGGACAGATCTGTGAAAGGTATACACCATGGATGAAGGAGAAAACATTCTGGTGGAGGGTCAGAAATAACTCCTGAAGAGAGGTACAGCCAAAATTTGGCAAGCAATGCCTCTGGAGAGGAACTGGAGTGAGGATGCACAAAAACGTGGTGTGCTTCCACATGGCTTCAGGGTGTGTGCCATCCAAACTGAGGAGAAAGAGCTGTAGCCCAAGCAGGTAGAAGTAAGGAAGATGTGGACAAGGAGTCCCCGTTACAGCTGACGGGCAAAAAGGAGACATGGAAATACTTCGTCTGCGAGCACAGAATCAGAGCTGGGCTCTACAGCTAATCCCAGCTATGGGAAGGACAGGCAACAAAAGCAATCACAGGTAAGAAGACAGGGCAACGACGTGGGAATAAGAATGTCAGAGAACGAAGAGGAAAATGCCAGGAAAACAATGCCAGAAAGACAACGCCTGTGATCTTGACTTAAAAAACAATGGCACGAAAGGCTTACTTTTTTTAAAAGGTATCTCTTTCATCTTAATTGTGTCCCTAAGTCTAAGGCTCTTATTTCTTTTTAATAAAATAGCCAGGGTTATTTTAATGTGATGCAACTTCAAAAAAGCTTGGCAAACCATGCAGCAGTATGTGATAAAAAACAGTACATTCTCTTAATTAAAAACAAACATAAATGCCTTTCCCCTTAAATTAGCAAAGCTGCCACAAGTTTTTCCAAAGATCATTGAGCATAGCATGTGAGGTTATCTTTTGTGGGGAAATGGCTTACTCTGAAAGTGTACTCCCAGTATTTGTCGGCTCTTTTTCTCTGGACTCCTTTCAACATTATCTTCTCAATGTGTACAGCTGAAAGAAAAAAAACACATGCTGACTTGCGCTACAAGGACTACAGACACATGTCAGTTACCTAAGGTAACCCTAAAAGTTGACGAGTGCTTAACAATTAAGCTTGACTGGCCTTAAATCATGAAATTAAAAAATTAAAAAAATTAAAAACCAGAAGCATAGCAATGTGCCACCTGCCCACAAAATAATTTTTTTCTATACCCATATAACATGCTGAGTGTTTAAGTAATTTCAAACACTCTGCTAACACCAAAGATTTTAAGGATAAAAATAAAAGGTACCTGCAATTAAGATATTTTTCCAAATGATAATCTTCCAAATGGTTATTCACATCATCACAAATATGGCATTTTAAGAGCAACTAAACATGGCTCATTCAATTATTTATACATAGTAGGTATAAACTAGAAAATACCTAGTTTTATATTTAATTTTTAAAAAAACTACTCAAAAGTAACATACCAAGCTGATAAAAATTTCTAATTGGGAATTTTAAAATTACTCTTCTCAAATGTAATCCTCAATATCATATAATGGTAAATAAAAATTGAACATTATAATAAAGGTTCAATAAATTTTCAAAATTTATTACAGAGGTAAAATAGTAAACATAAATTATATTAAACTCTAAAACACCCTGAATTGAACTAGATAAACAGTTTATTCATGAAGTAAGCAAATGTTTAAATTCCTCAACTATCCATTTTGCAACCCCTTCAGTAAAAGTACCACCTTAGGAAATAAATCAATTTCAAAAGAGTCAGTCTATTAAGTGTACTATAAGGATTTAAAGAGACTGTTGCTCAGGGTATAAACAGAAGAAACTGTACTTTCAGGATAATGAGGTAGGTGATATCAAAGGCTGATAATGACTATGCTAAAGGTTGCAGGGAAGAGGTTAGGAAAGTAACTCAACAGAATGGGGGGTGCACTGTTGGATTCAGGAGAGCTGGAGATGGAGGAGAAAAGGGGCATTCATTTTGCTTTAGAGGAAGAAGTTAAAATAGACAAAGTGGAATACACAGAGTGACAAAAGCATAGAGGAAGAATAAGACTGTTAAAAGACCACGGAAGGTGGGCAATGAGAAGGCATGAAACATAAGATACAGAAATACACAGGGGAAGGGACATTTATAATAAACAAGGGATATAACATTACCAGTATTTTTTTTATCAACTTTCCAAATATATAGGGTTTGGTCACCTGCTTGGGGGCCAATTTCCCCTTTGTGGGCCAGAAACGTTGAGGATGGAAACAAAGGAAAATCTCAAAAAGCCAGGCAAGAGCCTGTAACTCCTTAGAACTGTGCAACAGTATGAAAGCCAAAGTGAGGGTGGGAGGGTAAGCTGTTTCCAAAAGCTGTTACATTAAATTATTTAAGTAAAAATCTTCTGAACTAATCTTATATTCAGAAATAAAGCAGCTGTAGTTCTGCAAATCACTGGGCTCAAGGGTAGGGGATCTTGGGTTTTGTTTGGTCAGAACCCAGTTTCACTTAGCAGAAAAAGTCACTATGACATTACAGGGTATGAGAACATAGCTTCGGCAACGATTTCAAGTTCTGTCTGGTGTTATCTGTGGGAATCACGGTAAGAGAAGACAAGAGTATGTGGTGAGGAATGGCCACAATGAAAGTGCCCCCAACCCTCATAAATTTAAACTAAAAAGCATGTATTACACAAACTTTTTAAGAAGTAGGAATATAAGAAAAATCATCTAGAGTACTACCTTTACAGTTAATTGTTAGCATTTTCTTTCTGAGATAGAGTTTTGCTCTCTGTTGCCCCAGCTGCAGTACAGTGGCATGATCTCAGCTCACTGCAACCTCTGCCTCCAGGGTTCAAGCGATTCTCCCATCTCAGCCTCTCAAGTAGCTGGGATTACAGGTGCCTGCCACCACACTCAGCTGATTTTTGTATTTTTAGTAGAGATGTGTTTCACCATGTTGGCCAAGCTGGTCTTGAACTCCTGACCTCAGGTGATCTGCCTGTCTCGGCCTCCCAAAGTGCTGGGATTACAGGCGTGAGCCACCGCACCCAGCCAACTGTTAGCATTTTGATATACTCTCTATGTTCTTCTAAAATATTTTTATTATAAAAAAGGAATCTTCATTGTAAAACCAACTCCACTTTAGATTATTTGTACGTTCAATGAGCTTAGCTGAAGCAGTCTATGATTAAAGTAGTTTAGCTGGAAAGGCAGTAGTACTGTGATAGTCTTGAATAGAAGTGGTCATTACATAAACACTTAAGTTCGACACTAAACATTCAGACCTATTTTTCCTTTGTGAGGAAAAATGTATTACAGAAAAAGGATTATTACTGGAAAAAAAGGAGACATAATGACATAAAATTCAAAATTGTTATAACTTGAGTGTGAAGTTTATCATATATCCATGGCTCTTTTAAAGCCCAGATGGTAGTCTACATTTTCCATTTCAGTTTCTCTCCCAACACAGGTTAATGGCTCCCCAAATACAAAGAGAAAAGAATATCTGAATTCATTCCTTTTCAGATAGCAATGTCCTTCCATCCTCTCATTCCAGCCCTCTTAAAAGCTGCATTCTTGCAGGAAGAATGGACTTATAAGTAACTTACTTACTCTTACACAGAACTTGTATAAAAAGTTACTTTTTTAGTAGACACTGAGCTCAATTCTAGGAAGAAAGCACTATACTAAATATTCTGTGGGCTCTCTGGCCTTCAGAAGCATGCAACCAGGTTTAAGATCCAGTCAAGACAATGGGCTACAGAGCAGAACGAGTGGGTGCATGCTGGGAAAAGCAGGGCTGTGGTGCAGAGGCACCCAGCGTGAGGACGGCAGAATTGGGAGGACTGGCTCTTGAGTGAAGCCTAGGATGAGTAGGACTCTCCACTTCCAAAAGGAGAGTAAAAAGTTTACAGTTAGTGTACAGAGTACCCTGTAATCTTCTGATGCTTACAAAAAATAGAGCATACTACCTTCTCGCTGAGCTCTGTGAGGTGCCAGGGTAAGTCCATCCTGAGGTATTGGGGCTTGCTCTATTAAACTGCTCTCGTTATTTGGCATGTAATCACCATGAGCTGAGTTGTTCTAGATGAGAAAGAGAGAGACATGTTAACTTACACCATGGATTAAGAGCAATAAATCCCAAATATAGGTCTTCCTATTTAACAACAACCATTTTAATGGCAAGTTTTAGAGATCCAATAGGTGACTGCACACTTTGGGCACAAAGGCACAGTGTCAGAACCAAAAGCAGAAGACTAGCTTTCTATTAATCATCAACGGTCCTAGCTTTCTCAGGACACATAAAATTGCTTAATACGATTCAGAGTTGTCAATGATGTCAATTCTGAACCAGTATCAAAGGAACACATAACAACAAATGGTGCCCTTTACACTAAACCCCATAGGCAAGGCATGTGTACTTTTTACAAGAATCACTACACAATTTTTATTCATTGTTTGGTTTCATTAACATTCTAAACAGATGCTTTGTAGAAAAAAGATCTTATGAAAGGTATCATCAATACATGCCAAGGCTTTCTAAACAAGAATATGTATAGGCAGGGAGTTTACCATTAAATTTAAGTCATCTAACAGCTACTGGGTGCTCTAAACCTAACTGAGTTTGCTTAGCTCATCACTAGTGAACTGGAGTAACTCTGACTCCTAGATCTGCTGCTTCGAGTAATATAGGAGATGCCAAACTTACACGCAGCTCGCCAGAAATCAAGCACTGTCACATACAAACTGTTACAACATCATATTGATTAAGTAAAAAAACAAAATAGCCTGATGATGACAGTTTTTTAATACATCTCGCACCTCATCCCCTCCCTTTATGTTCAGACTCTCAAAACACTACTCATATCAACATCACCTCAGTTTTAAGAATCAATTACGATTTTACAAATCTGTAATAAATATATATTAGTATTTTTTTCTGTAAAGAAATAAGGCAAACAGAAGACCCTAAGCTCCCCATAAATCTCAATTTAAAAATATTTTGTTCTGCTGTCTAATCACACACGCTGACCTGACAGTAAGTATGAAATGCTCTATTTATGAGAATAGGGCACATTATATACTTCTGAGAGCTAAACTTCTGCCTTCTAGTCTGTCTGTCTTTATTTAGAAATGCAAGGAAACAAAGACTGTCTACCTAGAAACATTTAACGAGGAGAGTAAGGACCTCTTAAGTCAACATTCAACTTCTGTAACACTTAGACTGATGGCCTTTACCAATTTTCAATATTACTGGTTTTTAAAAATGCAGATATCAATTCTTTTAATAACAAAGCCATGCATATCCTAACCCAGATCATATATTTTACTACACATTTACCTATGAGAGATTCTGTTTCTCAAAAATTTTAACATTGCTGTAAACACTTCAAAAAACAAAGAAAATAAAATGCTATATAATCCTCTCAAATAGTTGGGTTAACTGGAAGAAGCTTGGGTGAATAGGTTAACCACTTCTTCCTTTTTTTTGAGACGGGGTCTCTCTCTGTTGCCCAGGTTGGAGTGCACTGGCATGACCATAACTCACTGCAGCTTCAAATTCCCAGCCTCAAGTGATCCTCTCAACTTGGCCTCCCAAAATGCTGGGGTTACAGGTGTGAGCCATTGTACCTAGCCAGTCAATCATTTCTTAAAGAGAAATATTTCTCTACATTGCTCATATGTAGCTCACAAATTTAAAACAATAATATCAAATATAAACTAATGCAAAATATGCAAAAAATGTTTTCATCAGTGAGATGCACAGCAAGACACCACTTTACACCCATTACAATGATTATCATCAAAAAATAAAGTGTTGGGAAGGTTGTGGAGAAATGGAGCCCTTATGCATTGATGGTACAAACCAAAATGGTATAGCTACTGATGACAGTCAGGCAGTTCCTCCAAATATTAAACACAGAATTATTTTATGATCCAGCAATTCCACTTCTAAGATATACCCAAAAGAACTGAAAGCAGAAGAAATGCAAACATAATCTGTACATCAATGTTCACAGCAGTTATTTATAATAACCACAAGGTGGAAACAATAAAAATCCATTAATAGATGAACAGATTGGCAAAATAGGGTGTACACATATGATTATATATGATTCAGCCTTAAAAAGGAATGCAATTCTGATAAATAATATGATTTGGATGAATCCTGAAAACAGTATGCTAGATGAAATAAGCCAGACGCACAAAAGAACAAATACAGCATGCTTCCAATCATGTGAGACACCCACAGTAGTCAAGTTCATAAAAAAGTAGAATAGTTGCTAGGTGTGGTAGCTCACGTCTGTAATCCCAGCACTTTGGGGGGCCAAGGTGGGAGGATCACATAAGGCCAGTAGTTCATGACCAGACTAAACAACATAGCAAGATCCTATCTCTACAAAAGATTTTTTTTTTTTTTAATTAGCCAGAAGTAGTGGTATGCACCTATAGTCCTAGTTACTTGGGAGGCTGAGATGGGAGGATTGCTTGGGCCCAGAGTCCGAGGCTGCAGTGAGGCATGATCACACCACTGCACTCCAGCCTGGGCAACAGGGCAAGACCCTATCTCTAAAACAAACAAACAAAGTAGAATAGTAGTTACCAGGGACTGCGGGGAATAGGGTGTTTTCTTTTAATGGGTAGAGAATTTCAGTTTGGGATGATAGTGTCTAGAGACAGTGGTGAAGACTCACAACAATGGGAATCTACTACTGCTACTGAACTGTACACTCAAAAGGAGATAAAATAAGAATTTTATGCTATATATTTTATGTCACAATAAAAACTAAAAATGGAGATGATCACACTGCTTCCACAAACATTAAATTGAAGCAACAGTATGAGAGTAGTTTCCTTCATAATCAAAATCACATTTCTGAAATGTGAAGTTAACTTTATGAACCCAATTTAACAACCAAGAAGTAGCTTCCTGTTTAATAACGTAGGGAGAGAAATGAAGTTTGAGTTTCTATCCAAAGTCCTAAGTTCATCAAGCCATGAAATATCTACTAATTAAATGCTTCTATTCCCCTCCAAGTCTCAACATGTATCAATGCTATAAAATCATATAGACTAAGTTTAGAAGCTGTTACTAAATTCACCCATGTGACGCTGCATGAGCTGGAGATGAGAATTAGGCGGTTAGGCAGCCCCAATGGTGGGCGGCGGCTCGGCAATGCTGTCTGCCTTGCCCTCCCTCTTTACTTTCCTTAGGGGGAAGAGTATCATAAAATCTGAGAACACCTGCTTTAATGGAATTATATAAAGAGGATGGCACCTACTTTATCTGTTAAGTTCAGATTCCCATGAAAATGCAGCACAGACGAAATGCCAGAATCAGCATGTTACAAAGACTAGTTACAGAAAAGGGTCAGGACCAAGAGAAAACTGGAGACTTTTTCTCTGTTTGAATCAAGAAAGCACAGTTTAAAGATTCTAAGCCTGCAAAAATACGCACAAGCATACAAAGAACCTTAGTATGAGTGCATTCTCCTTTCTTAACTCACCTGAGGCCGAGCTTCTTCTGTCCTATCACTTGCTCCTCAAGGGCTACTGGTTAGCACAAACCTACATGGCATGTGATTCAAGTGGTCTAGATGGTTTTGCCACAGATGACATGTAGAACCATCACAATTACATACTTAAGATTTCTTAAATGTGGGGGCCTTGTGAAACAGCCAAGTAGCTGGACATCCTAAAAAATTCTTCTCTGAAAACAAACCATTAGAACAAAGGTCGTATTTGCCTTTTTGTTGTTGCTGTTGTTAACCAAGTTCAAACTGTAGACATGGTTCCTCTAGTCCCTCGATGCAGAGTATGAATTTAAAAATCCAAGACATTCCCAATAGTAACAAAGCAGTAAGAGTTTTTTACTTTTTTAAACCAAATTCACTAATTTCTTCTGAAGTTTTCTCACTTGTCAAATGAGACTCAGAAAATTAATAGTATATAATAACATTCTATTAAGCTTCTGTGGTAGATTAATGATAGCTAAAAATTATTTATACTCCTCCCACTGCCAAGTGGAATGAGTTCCCTACCCAGTGGGCGTAGGCCAGCTTCAGAATGTGCCGGCGGTGACACTCACCTAAGGTTAGGTCCTGGGAAGCCTCGGCCTGGGCCTCTTGGACACTTGGGCTTGGAGTCCTGAGTCACCACATGAGACATGCACTTCTCCTGGTGGCCGCATTTGACGGACCACATGGAAAGAGGAGAGGGGTCTAGAGATGCCACCTAGGTCCCAGCTGTGTCCCAGACACCGCAGAACAAACTCTTCACTATAGTTATCTGTCTAAATCCCTCACCCACAAAACTGTGAGAGATGGTAATGAAATAGTCACTCTTTTAAGTCACTAAGTTTGGGAGTAATTTGTTATACAGTTACATGTTTTAAATTCTGTTCTTTAAATAGCCAGGGTTGCACCTAAAGCATACAGTATTATTTAAGCAAGATTCATAAGAAGTCTTGCTTTGCATGTTAGAAGATGATTCATTATTAGAAACTACCTAGATGTTAAATTTTATCCATTTTTCTAGAAAAGGAAAGAAGCTAGGGAAAATTTAAGAATGACTGACTGCCTATCTCTTTAAGAAGAAGATGTGGTAGAAGAGGCAGAGGTTGGTCTCATTTCTGCTCAGTGAAATAGCACAACTCAACCCAAAGTAGTGCCTTAAATCACCCTACAGCCTTTGATAAAAGGTGAGCTCTGGGTGGAGGAAACATGGCTGGTAATGTATTAAAACTGTGCTGGAACACAGGTAAGAGCAGGGGAACCAATGAATCAAGGCCCAGAAACAGCATACTATGGACTTCTGCTATGAACATGGGCTCACTCCCTATGTAACCCTTTGTTTAGTTTAACTAGCAATACCAGTATAAGGCAATTCAGCAAGAGCATGGCACAACTACCTATCTCAATGCCTGGGCAAATGCACTCCAGCTACTGAATGGAGGAGGGGACAAACAATTTACGGAATCCATGCATCTGCTCTGACATCACAGTCCACAGATGCGACCTGGTCACAATTACAGTTATGCAAGCGAAAGGGAACTAGATGGATGGAAATAGCTGGGGCAGGGA